AGAGAAGTGACAGTTTCTCCATTTGCCAAGCCAAAATAGAAGTGCCCAATACAGTGGTTTCATTACGGCAACTCGTGAACAAAATATAGGCACCATGCTGATGATTATGCCTCAGATCCAACTGCTTTCTGAAGTCGTGGCTGAATTCTGCTGGTGAGAGCTCAACAGACCACTGTACGGCTTTGTGAAGAGCCAAGAGTAGGCGGTTCTCTGCGCTGTCTTCCTCATAGATGGGGACATATACCCACACATTATTTCGCATCTCTTCCACTATATCTTTAACTGACTTAGAGAAGACAATAGCTCCATCTGGCGGAAAGTATTTCTTGATAATCGTCATAATACAGTCTTCTACATGATGGACATCTGGAACAGCGTTGTTGATATACACGCTGGCGGCTGTAGTTTCGTAGATCAGTGTCACCAGCACCAGTAGGTGGCTTGAATAGGTGATCTGAGAAGGAAATGGACTGTCTCATTATAATTATTATTACTGTAATCTTTCGTCAAAGCTTGGAGGGGGATTGTGTTCGTGAAAGTAATCCTAAGTACCAAAATTTCAGTTTGAAAGACTGTGGCTTTATTGGAAACTGGGCTTAAGGGAAACACGGCAGCAATTTTCACCAATCACAGGTTAAGTTACCAGTTCCTTCACTAGACGAAGAATAAACCTTAATTTGTACCCTGGTAAGTTCTTGATCAGATATGAAGCCAGAGATGATAACACGTGTTCGTCGCATTCTCGTTTCGCTCAAGATGACAGAACTCGTGGAGCAGCGATACTGCATTAAATTTTGCCAGAAACTTGGGGATACACAAGCGGAAACAATTTTCAGAATTCAGCAGGCTTTCGGCGATGATGCAATGGGGGTCACTCAAATTAAAGAGTGGTTCAACCATTTTAACGGTGTCTTCAATCCCGGGAACAGCCATAAATCACAAGGAGCCATGTCAGGAGAGTAAAGGAGCCTGGTGAACCTGCAGAATGCCGTGTTTGGCCAGGAAACCCTGGATCAGGTGCGCTGAATGAGCTGGGGCGTTGTCATGATGCAGCTGCCAGTTGCGTGCGCCCCACAGCTTCGGTCTCTTGCTCCGAACTGCATCACGAAGATGGCGGAGGACTTCTTGGTAGTACTCCTTATTGGCAATCTGGTGTAGTGGTGCGTACTCATGATGCACAACACCCCGGTAATCGAAAGAAACAGTCGGTATCACCTTCACATTGCTCTGAACCTGCTGTGCTCTTTTGGGCCTCGGGGATGTTGGATGCTTCCTTTGTGACGCCTGGACCTTGGTTTCCGAGTCATATCCGTACACCCACGACTCGTCACCGGTGATCACAGTCTTCAGGAACTCAGGATCCCTGTGGGCGTACTCTAGCATGTCCTGCGCGACCTCAAGGCGGAGATGTTGCTGCTCCGGCGAAAGCAGCTTGGGCACAAATTTTGCCACCACTCTTCGCATGCCCAAATCCTCAGTTTAAATTGTGTTTGCGGAACCTCTGCTGATCCCAACCTCATCAGCAACTTCACGGATGGCCAAACGACGTTCCTCCATGATCAGTGTCCGCACTTTTTCAATGACATCAGCATTTCGGCTCGTTGGCGGTCTCCCGGGACGTTGCTCACTGTCCGCCGACATACGGCCATGTTTAAAAGGCTGCCGTTTTGACAACCGCTAGGGCATCATACAGAACGCGACGGCGCAGCTGCACGCCATTCCAAAAGAAGCCTTCCAGAATTGCTTCCAGTGATGGAAGGACCGCTGGGCTAAGTGTGCGGAGTCACAAGGGGCCTACTTTGAAGGCGATTAGGTATTGTACCCACCCAGATACAGAACTTTGTTTTCCCGGCCCAAGGTCGGATACTTTTCGGACAGAATAGTACGTATAATACAAACTCCGTCGTAAATGCGACACTTTATTTACTCGTAGTTCTTGTCCCCTTTCTTTTACACTACATGTTTCGGCCGCAGCCGGCCATCATCAAGTGTATTTAACTTCACGTAGCTGTTACACTGCACTCAATATTAACATTTAAACTCCAGATTTCCAATTGTTTATTGCCCTGTCATCAATTGGCACCCAATATTCCAGAACTCCCCTTGTCGGTTTTGTCAATTATGTTTAAAATCTTTATTAATATTGACTCCTCGATTGGTTTAAAATTTTAAATTCTCAATTTAGCTTTAATATTTAAAATTTAAATTTAAATTTAAAATAAAAAATCACAGAAATACCTGCTCTATGCTTACATGTGCTGCAGCGGCTACCTCTTGCTTTCAGCACAGCTCGCGTGTTATCTGCAATACATAAATATTATCTATGTTACAACACCCGCAACCAAAAAGGGAACACACATCACGAGACACGATACACACGGCATATAAGAGGAACGACTCCCGTAGTGGAGGAACCATGCGCAGGTTTTGAATTGGGATAGATAACATGAATATCTTAACAAGATTTTAGTATACAAAAAAAAATTATTATACCTGACGAATACTTTAAAATACTTTTTAAATAATTTTACATTGACATAATGGCATGCACTGCAATAGATTAGTGTAAATGGAGCACCTGATGATGGCACTGTGGTGCCGAAACATGTTGTGAAGTGACAGGTGAAACTGAGTGCACTACAACACGGACACTGTATATACATCATGGGCGTTTAATGTGTTTGTAAGATTGTGTGCACAATTAAAAATCGTGGATGCATAAAAATGGATAACGCTGCTGGAAAAGGCATATACCAGTTTAAAACAGCAGATTCTCGTGTTTCAAATACACAGTCCAAAATTTGGCAAACTTTTCTAACCTACATGACGTCATATTCCAGAAGGCAACCTGCAACTGCCTGTTATTTTCATTATCTGCTAATCTGGTTTTGTGGTTAATGTGACAGTCTATTTTTAATTAATATTTAAATGTGAACGTTCACTGCGATTATGACGTCTCTTCTCTTTTAGTACTGCATGGGAACTTTCTTTTAATTTGCAAATAAACACCTTTATACATAGTACATGTAAACGGTTACATCTACCGTACAGAAGGAGACATATAGGTTGCTGATCCTTGGAAAGCCAACGCTAATTCACTGGTTCCTGAGTGAGGAAATGCTGAAACTCCTGAAAGCAATTTGTTACCGGGTGTTTTGAACCGTTTTCGTTCAGGTTGTTTGCTTCGCGGATAAATTTCACACATGAAATTGTATATAGTAACGTAACCAAAGTTACTTTCTCCTGTCTTAGTTACTAGAAATTTCTAACTTTTAATATACTTCTTACGTGTATATGTTGTAGGTTCATTGCTGGGAAACGTCGTAGTCGCGATTTTTACAATAACTCTGGATCGAGTGCTTCTTCCTATAGAAACTCTGAAATTGTACCAGCCTCCGTAATATGAAACACGTGGATATTTTGTCCACGATATATTTTCTGGGTGGAAATAATTGTCTGTGCAACAGAAGAGACTTGTTTGCTTGGTAACAAAACAGTGCATGTAATGAGAAAAGATATAATCAGGAAAACAATACAAAAAGGTTGTACCAGTTACAATGGTATGAGCTCTGCGGGCGTCAATAGTAATCTTTAGAATAAATATCACAATTGGCGAGGTATTTTATATTTCCAGAATGTTTTGTCATTGGATTTCATTTACAAACAAAGTCATCACCATCAGCATCACATTTCCTTAGTTTGTTAGAAGCGAGGATGATTCCATTGGCAGATGCACCAATGAACTTCAGAGTTCAGTAATATATATGTATAAAGCAATTTTTGTTGAAGATGTAGGTCTTCTAATGGAAAGTAAATATAATGGAAATCTGTGATACTTTTTTCTACATATATATACCGACAGTTAACCTATAATTGGCCTACCATGTAAGGTATTCTATTTTTTATAGATCTCAAATGTTCTTGCAGTAAATATGTTGCAGAATAAACCACAATTTTAAGGTATCGCAGACCACTTTCAGTCCCCACATCTATATTATCTATCCAACTGCTTCTAATCAACTATGCTCTTCTTGTTCCGTACAGTTTCGGTACTGTCTAGTTATGACACCAAACTTCTAAACCCCAACAGGAAGTTGAGACCGCAAAAATACAGGCGGGCATAGGTTGGCCGGTGTTCTTTATTGCACTTTCCCAGATGAGCATCTAGAATTGGTTCTGTTAAGAGTGATGTCACCTATGTCTTAGGCTGGCTTTCTACCCGGCTTCAGTGTAATGTTATTTTTCCGAAAAGCACTTTTGAAGAAAATTAACTTCGTTATGAGATTTGTATGAAGTAAAATTTGTGCTTGACCGATAAATAACACGGACCCTTGCTTAAGAGTTTCTGTTTAAACCTCTAGTACCAGACCTCGTGCCGTTTCAACCGGACACAACCCCCCCCCCCCATAGTGCCACAATTTTTCAGTTAAAGATTGTGGTCTTCTGAGACATGACGCGTTGTTTTATAGGCGGCTACTAACATTTCTGAGTAACCTGCTATTTCCATCTTCAGGTAGAATAATGCTGGATGTCGTTACATCTCAGAAAATCATAATCTTGATAAAAGGACGCATAATGACTAGCAATTAGTGGCGATACAACCATTTCCTGTAAAATGCGATACTTTTATGTAGGTTCTACTCTTCTGTGAAGTTAAATTAATCACAATGACCGCTCTCATACCATTGTCTATCACTCCAGAACTGGAATCGTGGATTCTAATCCCATAAGGGGCATGGAATTGTGCACACGTTTTCTCCGAGGTTTTGATTTATGCAGAAATTTTGTGATGAGCCGATTCTCTGTTCAAGGAATCCTGCTGTTTGTCTGAAAATGAATCGTAACTTCAGGCGTTAAATCAGAAGTGAAGCCTCCAGATCGCTCCAGACGCTCCAGACGGCCGAAATCCGTACAAGATACGAGAAAGTACGCGAAGCTTGCTGCGTTTCGATGTTGGTGCACGTGTCCCCTTCCGTCACTAGATAGCGTTGAAAGCACTAACCGTCTAGGGTTTTGCGTTAAGGGCGCATGGTAATTGCCAAGCGTTGCTTATGTTTTTTTGTACACACATCAATTTTGGAAAAAAAAAAAAAAAGAAGAAGTTGTATGTTTGGAATCCGGGGATGGACGTAGTTAAAAGGGTGGTGATCCATAACTGACAATTAAAGCACGCAACGGTTACAGACGGAAATATACTTTTGGAATAAACCGGAATAATTTAGGAACGTCAAGACATTGAAAGGAAGACAGTATTAGGAAGGTGTTCTGATTGTCAGTTCATATTCCCCGTTAACGTCATATGAGTGTTTATTGCTTTATTTTTCATAACCATAGGACCTGAGAATGGCATCACCTATGAGTGGAATATTCGCTTCATTCCAGGATTATCTGAACACGGAACAAGAATTACGCGAGGTTAGTGGTTTTTGTTGGAATGTTATGTTAGTTGAGGTTATGAACAAAGTGCACAAGTGGTTCGGGCACATATTATTTGTACGTTTTTCATACAGGAAATTCGGAACATCGTGAAGGATATTGAACAAACAGCCAGAGAAATTCTGACGACACTAGAGAAAATTCACCATGAAGGTGGTATACAAGAAAGTAAGTTTTCTCCATACAGGAAATTGATTAGCCTTTAATGCGAGTGTTACAATTTCAGGGGATTTTCTTAGTGTTCTTTTATCATGAAGTTGTAAAGGTAGCACATGTATTGTTTATTTACAAAAAAAAATTATGTAAGGTCTGACTATAAATGACTTGCCAAGTGTAATGGTAGAGCTCATTTGCATTGTATCTGAATTCATTCTGCCAGTTGTTGATGTGTTATAATTCTTGATCCATTACCATAGTCCAAATAGGCAGTTATATCACAGTGAGATGGGCAGTAAGAGATATCCTAAGCCCGAGAAACTCAGGAGAGAATTCCGGAGCTATTGTGGGAACTTCTTGAACGTCTGTCTTATAGCCCAGACTTGGCCTCTAGTAACTTCCGTCGATTTGGTCCACTAAAAGCCACCTTGGTGGTAGATGTGTCATTATTGATGAAGAGGTTGAAATGGAAGTGCAGACATGGCTGCGACAACAATTGAAAGACTTCTGTACTGCAGGTTTCAACTCACTGGTATAGCAATGGGACAAGTGTATCAATGTTGGTGGAGGATATGTCAAGAAATAAATGTTTTTTTCCAGGTTTGAATGTTATATGTTTTAAGTTTTATATCCAGTTGTGACCTATTTATCGACTCTTCCTCATACTTCATACTTTATATGCAATGTATGAATGCTATATGTTTTTGTGTAATCACTTTATGAAGTTGTCCATTGTGGTTCAGTGGGGTATCAGTATTGCAAAATTACAAAAGCAAATAATAAATATGGAATTTTTATTTAAGGCCATTGCAGCACTCCCAGTTTGAACATGTGATGCTTTGGTTACACCACCATTACAAAAACAATTATTTATCTTCTTACATATTCAGTAGTTTGGCATCCTGACCTCTTCCTGTTCTGAATTAATCTGGAACAGTGACCCTTGTAGGTGAGTGGAAGCTCTTTGAATTGGAACCAGTAACATTTCAGCATTAATATTACTAGGCAATACAGAAATATGTATTGTGGATTGAGGATTAAGTCTGCAATCCCAGTATGCACGTGTCATAAGAATGGTAGAATAACTAATCAGTTTAACATGGTGTAAGCAAAATTCCATAAAGTATTCATATTTGACACTGATGTCTGTCAACCTGTATTTAGTACCTGCCAGCTGCCAAAGAGCAAGAACATTGTTTGGTGGCATCAGAGAGGGCTACAAGAAATTAGCAGAAAAAATACCAGAAGACCAGTATTATCGGTATCATGATCATTGGCGCTTCGTTACACAACGTACTGCATTTCTTGCTTCACTCACCATCTTCTTGGAGTCTGGAGAGCTGGCATCCAGAGAAACTGTTGCAGAAATGATGGGAGGTAGGTTTGTGGTAATGCTGCAGTTAGTATCTGTTCAGCCTTCACAATTCAGCACACCTCTAAGGCAGACTCCATTACCCCAGAGGGGATCCACAGCTTGACATGGACTCTAAACCATATTATGGGACCTGGAATTCCTCACATTCACAGAATAGTACCTTTTCAGAGGTGAGGGAAGGTAGAGACATGCAACAGAATGTACAACCTCAAACCCAAGACTGTAATGTGTTGAGAGTTGAAAGGACTGGAGTAATTTCATAATCTTTGTGTGTAGGTGTAGTTTTTGTTTCATAATCTTCAGTAACTGAGAAAGTTGATACAGCAGTAATGCTGTAGGCTTGTATTTTGGAGGTGCTTGGTTTGCATCTTGGCCAGGACAATAGCTATCTTGAGTGAGACTTTCACCGTTTTCCAGTCCTTCCAAACAGATGATGGGATAGTACCTTCATTAGACTGTGACCACTTCCTTCGAGACCCTTTTAATCCTACCATATTATGCTATATAGCCTGCTCAACCTACAGCCCACAGGTGGGATATGCCCATGGCATCTCTTCATGTAACCCTTCAATATATCCAATATATCAGCAAGTAACTTACAGCTAGGGCCATTCGTAGGGTGTGGCAAATTTGGGTGAATGCCCCAAACGTTGCAGTTTATTATCACAGCATTGGTTTACTTTTGTGGTTTCAATAAATTTGATTTTGTTGAGCAGTGAATTAATAATTATTTGTTAGGGCTATGATGTCAGCAATACTCAATAAAAACAGATGGTTAAGACCACTCAATACTTTAATAAGAGAGTGATCAGTTACCTCAAAAGAGACTGTGAACACTTATAAGAGACTAGGTGTATTATTAATTATTCATCCTGTGCCCCCTGGTTTGTGGCAGGGGAATTCCCTAATCAATTTTTCAGTGTAATTGCAGTACTTAATGTTGGTACTAGTTTTCAGTATTTTAGCTTTGAAGCTAATAATATTCATGAATGAGAATGGTGAAGTGGTGGCTGAACTTACCCATGGGAAGTGGCTTTGAGATTTGGCATTGCTATGTGATATCAGTTGGCATTTAAATGATGTAAATACCTAACTTCACATACAACAGACACTTGTTTCTGATATGTGTTGAACTATCAAGAGATTTCAAATGAAGCTGAAACTATTTTGGGAACAGTTGGAAAATGTTAACCTGTCATTTATCTTCCTATGATTTGCTTCATAAGGATGGATGAGTAATTCTTCTGAAGAGCTCTGTCTTCTGTGATATAACGCTGTATAGTTCATTGAAAAGACAGCTGACATTTTGAAGTAATGTATCACCCCCATGTTGCTTCAACATGTCAGTTGACTTTTACTGTGTCACAGGGTGTTATATCCTAGAAGATAAAACTCTTCACAAGCACTGCTCTGAGAATCTGAAATCCTACTTGTACATAGTAATTATACCCCTCCAGGTGTTATTGCTGTAGAAATGATTGATTCCTTGGCAGAGAATTTTGAAGTGAGATTGAATGACTTTCATATCCATGATACAAATATACAGGGTTAGCCTAAAAGAAATAGTTTAAATGACTCGTGTTCGTGAAACTTACACGCGCAGCCCAAAAAAAGTTGACAACATGTGCAAGTTTAGAACACAAGAACATAAAGACAGAGTTTATGTTCCTTCCCTCCCCACAAGTGTGGACGACCTTAAACAACACATCACAGTAGCTGCTGCGACTGTTGACGTAGGCATGCTGAGAAGCGTTTGGGAAGAACTAGACTATCGCGTTGAAATTTGTCGTTTTACAAAAGAGTCACATATAGAACACTTGTAAATTACCCATGTAAACTTCAGGGCGTTTTTTTCAAACCGTGTAAGTATCTCAGCCATGCTATTAAAACTCTTTTGTCTGTAAAACTTTGAACATGTCTATTTCTTTTAGTCTAACCCTGTATATATCTTTGAAAACCCATTCTCTGTTGTGAGCGATGCTCTAGAAGAAACTGCAACTTGAATTGATTGAACTGCGGTATAACTCAGTTTTCTATAGTAATTTCAGCCAGGAAGCTTTAGTTACCTTTTAGGCTTCTTTACAGTAGTCTTGGTTCTCTGAGTTACGTAAGTAAGCATGCAATCTGGCAAGTACCAGGTGGTTCAAATATGACCGGGACTGATTTTTTTTTAAAAAACCATAATTGCCAAACACTTACTTGCACATGTCAGTCTTCAACGTACTCCCTTGGGAGTCAACACATTTTTTCCAATGTTCTGGAAGCATCCTGATGCCCTTTTGAAAAAAGGCTTGTGGTTGGCAGCATATCCACTCCTGAACAGTCTGGATGACAGTGTCATTGTCCACAAACAGCATGCCTTGCAAATCTGATTTGAGCCTTCCGAACAGGTAGAAATCACTTGGGGCCAAATCGGGACTGTACAGCAGATGTGTCAGAAGGTTCCATTTCAATTTCCAGAGGGTTTCCATTGCTGTTTTGGCCATATGGGGGCATGCATTGTCTTGAAGGAAGGCTACCTGCTTTCCACCTGTCTTCCGCTTGGATGAAATCTTTTCCTTCACGTATGTGAATGTATGTGTATGTTGCCAGGAGGTCTGAGTAATGAGCTGCATTGACTGTTCTGGCATCTCAGAAAGTCTACATGGATAACCGTCTGCCAGTCCCAGAAGAACATTGCCATCACTTTTCCTGCTGAATGGCTCCTCTGCATTCTCTTGTGTTTGGGAGAACTGGTATGCTGCCACTCACGTGATGACTGCTAGGACTCGGGAATGAAGTGGTGCACCCACGTTTCATCGGTGGTCACTACAGACTTCAAAATGCATCACCTTCATTTTCAAACTGCTGTAGGAGACGACTGGCAGCTTGCATGCACACTATTTTGTTCACGTCTGTCAAAGTGCATGGTACCCACTATGCATTCACCTTGCAACAGTGCAGATGGTATTTCACAATGTCTTCTACACTACCAACACTGATGGACAGCATTGCTCCAAGTTCCTTAATAGTGATGCGCCTATTCTCATGAATAAGCACATCTGCACAATCAGTGTTTGGCTCGGTTTGCGGCCGACGATCATGGGGTTAATTCTCCACGCGCGCTCTGCCCTCTCTGAAGCATTTAACCACTCAAACACACGAGTCCATGAGAGACACTCTTCCCCATACTGTTGTTGGAGTCTGTGGTGAATTTCAGCGAATGGGAAGTGTTCTCCGAGGAATTTGATCACAGTGCGTTGATCCACGCTCCGCGGTACCTTCTGTTCACTCATCACTCTAGCAACTCCCAGACACAACTGAACAGGTTCTAACCCAAACAGGAGGGAGGGTGGAGGTTGTGGCTTGACTCTCTCAAGGTTGCACAGCTGCTGCGCAGTACAGCTTGTTTACACACAAATCAGTCCCGGTCATATTTGAACCACCTTGTATATGAGGCAGCACATAAACATATGAACAGATTTTTTCATATATGAAACAGAACAAATCAAAGTTCCATTCAAGAATCAATAGTGTTCACTTACATGATGTGATGCTAACTTGCATTTCAAAAATGGAACCAAATGTTAATTCTCTTGCAGAGCAAAGGCAGGCCCAGGTTTCATGTTAATAAGGTAAGTCACAAGTCACAATGCGAGTAAGTTATGGTAAGAGATATTTGAATGCTGTAGCTCTTAGTAGTATATTATATCTTTTATTGTAGCCATCTGCCTGAAATGTTCATCACTCCTGGTGTAGGTACTGTAAGCATTTTGAAATAAACCACTACATAATCTTTAGTGGTGAATAAAGACAGAAAGAAGACCTTAAATAAGACACATGTAAGAATGAACATAATATTAGTTCTATTTCTTTCAAATCTGTGATGGATCTGTAAGTTGAAAATGCATTACAGAATTTATTAATATTTTCTGATGAAGATTTGTTCAGGAGAATTTCAGAAAGCTGGATTGGTGTAGAAGCTGTCCTGTTAATCCATACTGTCATGTGATTGGAGTGTACTATAGATTTTGATTGATGACTAGATTTATTGGACTCTTTGATACAGCATGTGACTACACTTTACAGTTCACTGTTACCCACACACTAGTGTCCACAGTCTTCACTAGTCACTGCTTGGTAGTGGTTTACAATGGCGGATGTTCCCCTTCCTCTGGGTTCCCAAACTGTCTACAGCCTCAGCTACCAGCTTCTCATAGCAACTGCAACTGAATTGCAACAATTCTCTAACTCACTAGCTCACTACCCAGCTCACTCCTTACTCGTTTTTTTTTTCTTTTTAGCTTCTTGGGGTGGGGTGAGACTAAGTCAACTTGGTATGTTGGCCACTAACTCTCCTGTTGGACCAGCCCCGGATGATAGATGATTGTGAGTGTGGAGCAGTGGGTGGAATGAAAATTGGCAGGGCAAACCGAAGTACTCTGAGAAAGCCTGCCCCAATGCCACTTTGTTCACCACAAATCCCACATGATGCCACAGCCCACTCCTCACTAACTCAAAGTCAAAGTAGCATTGCGACTGATGGCCAGTCAGTCAGTAAGTCTTGGTGTCGAGCACCCTCCTGGGACTCATGACCAGATATTTATTACTGTTTGATAGTTACAGTCTTGTTCTTCTGGGGCACCCTCTCTGATGAGAGGACGGGTCTGTCTTATGTACATGCTGCTGGCCCTTGCCAGCGCAGTCTTTCTTGGGTCTGAGTCCCTTGGGACTCATGATCATATTTTACTGTCTCAGATTTTAGACTTCCCTTTTCGTTGCCTCCTATGACTCGCAGGGTCACAGTGGAGGTATTCGACCCTGCCTCCACACAGGTGTCCTCACTAACTGAAACTTGTCCTGTTTATAACATCTCAGCACAGACCACACACAATTCCTCTGTTGCAGTGCAACTGTTGCCATGGAAACATGCTTGTTTGCATAGCTGTTACTTAGGAATGGCTGTTGTATAGTTGCTTACTTCGTGGTCATTGCCTAGCAATGGGTCTACATGCCACAATACTATCACCTTATAGTTCTGTGGACTGTGGTAGAAATCCCATTGTTTACACATAATACACACATTCAGGCATAACTCTGTAAGGTGTAAATAAAAGCAGAAGCTTTCACACATACAGATTGTCATCCTTCCTAGGTTACATTCATCACCATTCAAACCACTCACAAGAAAACAGGCAGTGGAAACTGTTAAAAAAGTCAGTTAAACCTTGTACTAAATGTGTTTCAGTGGAATAGAAGGAAATAGGATTTGGCTCGGGATCAGATTCAGTGGTAGACTTTTATGTTAGTGGTAAGGCAAAGTTGTCCCTGTGCTTAAATAATTTCAGCACTACATCATGAAAGTGTGTGGGGGGAGTGGATGTATAGAGCCATGTATTTTTGACCTTGGCACTAGTTGGAAGTGAGTGGGCAACTTCACGCCCCAGCCACTTTACCCCCATAGAAAGAGCCCCCAGCACCCACTGGCTAGGAGGCTGGGTGGACACCACATCTGATCTAGAGGACACGGAGAAGAGAAAAATCTTGCCTCCAGCCATTCAGCCCATAGCCAGTCTCTATACCAACTGTGCTATCCTGGCTACTGAACATTTTGTTTCTAATACAAGAGCTAGTTAATTAGTTACTTATAAGAAAAGTGACAGCATAACATTTATCTAGAGAATGAAGGAAATACATTTTATGGATGTACTGCAGAAGTCTTAGAAAATATTACTGCTCTGTTCTTACACTTGACATTTAGTGAACTCTTTTATTATTGTATTCAAGGGTCAGTGAAGATTAAGAATATCATGCAGATTTTGTCTAAGTGAATAAATATTTTTTCAAAATGTATTCAAATTGATCAAGTCAAAGAGGATGAGGTGGCCAGGGCATGTAGTACGAATGGGGGAGAAAAGGAATGCATATAGGATATTGGTGGGAAAGCCAGAAGGAAAAGGAGAACTGGGAAGACCAAGGCATAGGTGGGTGGACAATATTAAAATGGATCTTAGAGAGATAGGATGGGATGGTATGGATTGGATTGATCTGGCTTGGGATAGGGACCAGTGGAGGGCTCTTGTGAGCATGGTAATGAACCTTTGGGTTCCATAAAATGCTGGGAAATTCTTGAGTAGCTGCAGATTTGGCGGCTCAAGTAAGGCTCAGCTCCATAAGTAAGTAAGTAATTCAAATCTACAGGAATGTAGATAAGTCTAGATCTTCCTTACATGAGGCACTTTCATTTTTTGCAGTAAAAATACAGAGAGATGCAGGTTTTCATCTCGACTTGGAAGACTATCTCATGGGCCTACTGCAGCTTTCATCAGAGATGGTAAGTGTTCTCACTTTGCTTACAGTTTAATTCAAAAATTGAGTGAGCATCTGATTCATGAAGTACACTGTGCTGTAATATTATATTTATAGAATCCAATTACATCCATAAAATGTGATAGGTATTACATATGATGTGCATGGAATAAAGCTTATAGGACTGACTGTTTACATAGAAATCCTGTAGTTAATGTTGTTTCCAGGGCCAGAGTTAAATAGCATGGTGATGACGCAAACCTTTGGTGTTAAAAAAATTATCTCTAACAGGCCGTGGATGCCCATAGGGTTGTGAGATATCAAAGCTTCCACACTTCTTTGACAGTCAGCTCACACTCAGCTTCCTTTAAAGAGCATCAGTGTAAAGGACATGAACCAAATTGGTTCTAAATTTTAACAAAGTCTTTTTTAAACCACACTTATAAATAAACTAATTATAATAATTTATAAATATTTTAATGTATTCATACATGTCGCTGTAGTTGTTAAAGGCTCAGAGCTTATATTCATGACATTGTAATATTGTATGTATGTACTGATAATGACCAATCACATTGTAATAGTAGTTTCCAATTGTATTGATATGTCCTTCTGAAGATGGTCTCTCAGACCAAAACGTGTCAAGGATGAAAGATTAAAAAGGAGAAAAAACATTTATCAGTCACTCTGAACAGAGTTGATAACCTTTTATAATGCTGTGATCATAACCATTAACCATCATCATATATGGCTGACTTGAAATGGTAACAGTTACTTCAGTGATGAAGAAATTTCTTGCATTTATAGAAACTGAATGTTTATCGTGAAATTCACAAAAACCCACAGTTGTACCCAGTCAAAACGTTCACACCGATTTTTAGTGAGCCATTTTAATATTACTTTTTAGTCTATACCTGGTTGTTCCAAATGTTTTCAGTTCTCTGTGCATCTATCAGGATTTTCTGATAAAAATTCATTATGCATTTTTCACTTCCCCATGGTCGGGTCAGGCAAATTGCTGCAGGCCCTTCCAAGACCTCTGACTGTAATGCTAGAGCCAAAAGCATCTACAGCAAGGCTCTCCTATTTACTCTCTGCGCTATCCATGCAGAGCCAAAAACATCTATCTGTGCCTAGTCAGGACTGGGCATAGTATATGGTAGGAGGATTCCTTCTCTTGCCCACATTTCTTGCAAGTGGAACCTTCTGAGGATCCCATAATACGTAGGTGTTGCCGGAATGTACAATGGCAAATTAGCAACGTTTTTACCAACCTGTGGTGTTTACAGTCCAAGGTCCATAGATACCTAGATAGTTTATTTCAAGGTGTTTCAATGAAGTGCTTCACCTGCTGCAAACCTAGTGTCAGCCCAGTGTTCAGAGGCGTTTGCTTCAGTCATGCCTTAATCTTGAGCTTACAGTCACGAGAGATTGAGTGCGGAACTGAGGAATGTGTATTCCTTGATCCCTACCTACGGAAGCATCTGTAGCATTAGCCTGTGTTGACTATGACCAGGAACCCAGAGGAGTCTGTACATGTGTATTACTGCTGTGCATTCCTGATCAGTATTCACGAGTAATATGCCATTGAGGACAACCCCAGGGCTATATTTCCTGTTTCCCAAATCAGTAGTAACATGGTGAATGCCTAAACCTCTGACGTGTGAAGAAAACTTGAGATATGGTCCTGATAAGATGTAAGAGGTCTCAAAAAACATAAATTTGTTGAGGAAATTTCTTTATGGAACATAAAATAACAGCATGACAGTTGGGATTACTGATTTTTTGGATTTTGCCCTTTATCTAATTTTCCGAATGACACTGGCTTGGAATCTGGATATGTTTATGTCCTCGGATGAAATGGTAAGAGGTGCCTACTCTCTGAGGCTCATTAGAGCTCTCCGCAACTACTTGATGGAAATGGATCGAGTTTCCAAAACATTGTGTTCTTCAGAGTATTATATGATGGACAGAATCCAAAAAGTCAGTAATCCTGGGTGTTGTACACCACTGTCCAAAACCTTTGGAACTAACATGGCAGCTATTGGATAATTTTCTTTAGAATTCAGTTTGATGGTGGTAACTAATGAACAGTTGGGTTTAACCTTGTCAATTTGGTATTGAAATAAATACAGAAATGCACATGTGCTCGCATGCGTATATGCCCCCCCCAGACACAAAATATTCGTATATTGCTCGTAAGTTAAAAATTTCAAACATGGAGATGATGCAGATCAGTGAGGTTATATGTGACAATTTAATGTTGACAGAATCTATATTTAAGTGATATTTTCTTCACAAAAATAAAATAACAGTGATGATAATGTTGATGGTAATAGTAATGATAATAGATCTGTAGGTCTATAAATATATGCAGTAAGAGTGTAGGATCTATGAGTTTTGTTTGGAACTGCTTGCATTTGTTATGCAGAGTTTACTAATATTAGTAAACTCTGCATAACCTCAAAATCTGTGGTAATACATTTTCCCCATCACACATCTACACAAACTAGTACATTTAACTTAATTATTTCTTCAGAGGCTTTCTTCTCATTATGTATTATACTTACCTTCTTTTCAAACATTTCCACAAACTTCCTATGCATGAACATTATTTTTCTCTTTATTTCATATATTGAAGTTATCTTCATGTTTATTTCAACTTTTCTGTGGTGTTCCCTCAGGAAGTACCTCCTCAAAACTGCCTCCAAACTGACTACATCAAGTCTTCACAAAATATTTTATGATGTTATATTTTAGCATCCTGTTGCACTGATTTAAGTCCATGATTTATTTCAACCGTCTTCAACTCAAAATGAAGACAGCACACACACACANAAAATCCTGAACAATTTTAATTTTTAACATTTATCAATATATATGATAAATATATATTTTAGTTATTTTAATATGAAGATGACAAGGCATGCAATGAACTAGTTTAGCGTAAATCGAATAAGCACCTGAAGATGGCACTTTTGTGCCGAAACATGTAGTGCGAGTGAGAGGAGGAGATAGACGAGTGTATACACTGGAAGACGGTTGAAATCATGGAAATATTTTATGATAATTGTTTGCAACATCATATGTTCCTCATGAGATATTTAATAATATATAATGCATACTACTTTAATGACTGTTTTTTAGTAACTTCATGGTCAGGTGTTATTCTCTTAACAGCTGACCCATTCTGGGTTAGGTTTAATAGCATAATAACTTATATATTTATTTGTTATGTTATGACAATAAGAGCTCATTCAGTAGAGTGACTAGAAAACCTGTTCTTTGATTCTGGTAAGGGGCATACTTGAAAAATAACATGTAAGAAGCACAATACCAACAAGCAAGTAACAGAGTCATTACCATTAAGCATTAAGCTATATACTGATAAATGTTATTTAAGGGTAGGAATCATTGTCAGAAAAACATTCATCATATTAATACCTAAGATTGGTGCCAATTTCAAATATACAAGAATTGTCAATTAGAAGACATTAAATTTTTTACTTTTAAGCTCTAGGATTAAAATTTCAACTTAAATTATTTGAGGACAAAATCAGTTTTTGTACCTTTGATAGTTACTTTTTAGGTTACAATGTAGAATGTATTTGTTGACATACATGTGTGTCCATTGCTGTTTGTTAGTAGTCACCTAATATAATATGGAATGTTTATGCTTGTTGCAGTCACGATTTGCAGTGAACAGTGTCACTTGTGGTGATTATTTACGTCCACTCCAAATCTCCAGGTTTGTGGCTGAACTCAATGCCGGGTTCCGTCTTCTGAATCTCAAGAATGATTCCCTTCGAAAGCGCTTTGATGCTTTAAAGTATGATGTGAAGAAAATTGAGGAGGTAGTTTATGACCTCACAATACGAGGTCTTAAACCTGGTACAAGCAGCACCAGTCCAATGGTTGAAGAAGAAACTTCAGATAAAGCCTAACTACAATGGAAATACCTGCAATGTGTGTCTCGCCAAGGCCATTTTCTACTGTGTTTACATGATGATGTTTATTAAAGTGATATTAATGTATCAGACAGTGCTAATCTCTGTCCCCATTAATGTTCCCAGCAGAATAGGTTTCATACCTTACCCAGCAATGAAAGCAGAGCCAGCTTCCAAAATGTGTTCTTTAGTATTCAGTTTGTTCAGTACAAGAAGTACATGAAAGGCATGAACAGGGTTGACCAGTACTTGAGCTATTATTGTAAGTTGAAGAAAGCTGGTAAATGTTAAAAGATGTGGTACACTGTCTAATCTACTGTGATTTTTTCACTGTTTTCAGTATTTACAGATTGTACTACTATATAAAAATCAGAGTTATAAGAATTTCTACATGAAACAGCAAGAGACTGGATTACTGAAAAAGAAGAGAAAAGGCTACACAGGCCAGATTTCTCATCACCAGCATACACTAAGAGGATCTAAAACAGTGTCACCAACTTCTCCATGCATAAATTAAAAAAGTGTGTGTGTGCCCCAATTTAATGTTCCTTGCTTTAAGATTTTCCCCTTGTTTAATAATCAGTTTCAATAATATGATAAATTTCCTCCATTTAAGATTTTTCTCAGTTAAGTGTTGAGATCCATTGCTCTCCCAATAATCCTTCACAAGGGGTTTTCCTCTGAGAAGTATCAGTTTCAGAAACATTATTAGATATGAGACATCATGCAACACTAAAGTGATACACATGTAAGTAGGAGTAAAGCCCCTCTGCTTAATTAAGTACCACCATGAAAACATGGGGAGGGGGAGGAGGCAGTGTAGCTCCACAAATTATTAACTTTGGCATAAAACTGAAAGTCAGCTTTATGCCCTGGTCTCCTCTCCACCCCCATTCCTCCCTCCCAAGGGGGTAGCCCTTAATATCCAGTGGATAGGAGGCTGGGTGGAGCCTTAGAATTGGTCTGGACACTTTGGAGAAGAGAAAACTGCTCTCTCCCTGTTTGGAACTGAACACCAAGTCCTCATTCCAGCCCATTGCCTAGCTGCTGTACCAACTCAGTACAGTATTTCAAAAACAGTGGCGTAAAATGCCTGGAACTGGGGCATTCGAACCTAAAAAGCTGCCATACTGCAATGTTAAAGAACATCCTTTTACACACAATGTAACTCATAACTCACCAAAAATATATTTATATTAAGAAATGATTTGCCATATCAGACACTTGAAATACTTTCTTTATTCATGTGTTGAGGAGAAAGATATTTCTAATAAGTTATTACATTTTCAAGAAACAGCATAACACTATAATTGAAAGGAACAGCTCAGTCAATAAAGTGACTTGCCTACAATCCGAATAATCAAATGTTGAACCAGCTGGTGTGCCCATAAACTTGCATTCAGGTTCATAATTCTGTTTTCAGTCGGGTCACCAGTTATCCTGGTTTACTTCAGCCTTGTTAAACAAGCTATGACTGCAGCTTTCTAAATTATTACCTTGTCTCAAAACATGATATCTGCCCATCTCTCTTCCTTGGTTGTAGTATCACCGGCTGGAGGGTCATTGGGTTCTTCACCCTTCACATAGAGGAACTCCTTGCAGATTATCTGAGCAGCTACTTTTCTGTTCAGATGTTTGTGAAGCTGCTAGATAACAATAATTAGCACATATCGCAATGAACAGCTGTTTGGCTCTTACCCCATTAACATCTCTGATATGGAATACTGGTATGGAGAACATCATTAATCCCATGTTCACAGCCAGTATATTTTCCACTAGCTCGTTGCAGAGAAACCTCTTGAAAAGACACGAGACTCTAAGAGCACAGGTTATCTGATATATACAGTTTAATCTTTATTTTCAGTGAAAAGCAAAGGTGCTCTAATTCACCTCATCTTACATGAAACAGCCTCATCAGGTATCCAGCATCAAAGGTGTACTTAGTAGCACTGGAAGTGGACTCTAGGTTGCCATCCAGCTGTTAACCTGGTCAAAATTTGGCACATGACTGAATACATCAGTATCCTTTGTCCAGGTCCAATACACTTTCCAGTGGCTTATTGGATTGGAACCTGATGAGATTTTCTTTGAAGAACATGGCTATGTCTTGAGGACGTGAACAGCCAGATACATGTGGTGTTATCTTCACCTGGAATATAAAGTACAGTTCAGGAGTGACTGAAATGGCTGTAGTGATACAATTTATTTTGCATATAGAAGGAATAACAATGATCAGTGTCAAAGAAGACTTAGGGCGATGACACACGGAGCAGTTTTCGCCGACTCGGCCACAGCCTTGTGACAAAATACACAATGCTGCAGGTCAATTTGAATGCTGAGTGCAACATACGGTGTGGGAGGTAGCATTGTACAGATGATTTTTACGAGGAACGTATAATACTTCTGTCACTGATTTACTTAGATGGAAGCGGCCTCCGTAGTCTAGGAGTAATGTTCCCACCTCATGACTCAAGGTACGTGGGTTCAAACCCGGCGGAGGTCGTGGAATTTTTAAGGGCGGAAAAATTCAGGGAACAAGTCCTCCAGGAGGGACTTTAAGCCATGGGTCCCGTGTCATAGATTTACGGCACGTAAAAGAACCTCGTGTCTCTAGGAGACCTCTGAGCAAAATTAGGCCAAGTTTCCTGCCCAACTAGTTTTCCAATTCCTCCGGTAGATGGGAGAAGTATCAGGTACCACTGCCAGAGGAAGGGGGACCTCTCTGAAAGAAAGGGACTAGGAACCCCTGCCAGAGGAGGGATGACCTCCCTGACAGAAAGGGACTATTAGATACCACTGCCAGTAAGAGGTTGGAACCTCGCTGGCAGAAAGGGGCTGATAGTAAGCACCAGTACCGGTAGGGTATGGAGACAGTAGAAATTAAAAGGGGGACGCACAATGGACCAGTAACCGGTCTAAGTGCATAGGGAAACCCACCCCTTCAATACGGAATACGGAAATACTTACGATGGAGGCAGAGAAGGAAACATCGGAGAATATGGATTCACCCAACTGTGAGAGATAGGACTTCAAAAGGTCTATTTTACACTTTATTTAATCAAGCACGACAAGATGAAGATAAATTTTATAATTTCGTTTGTATGTTGAGTGAATCTTTCGACGAACTGTTGCTGGTCGGGCATGGACCTCAATCCTACTCTCTAGCATTCTGTCAGGAAAAAGTGGAATGAAATAGAAAACTGTCAGTAAATGTTTGTACGCTTTTCGTATTGTATGTAAACAATGCTAAATATGTAATAAAGTACTTCATTCCATTACATATACATATTTTAATTTATATGAGATCTAATATAGGGATGCTTACCATTGATTCCTTCGCTGCATCGGAAACTGCTGAGAATATATTCAATCTATGGAGCAACAGCATGCACGAAGTCTTAAAACCGCTTGCTGCACTGCCTGCAGATGACAGGCCGAGTCAGCAAATCTGCCGCCTGTCGGCGAACACCGCCTTGTCTGTTTTATCCCATCTGATGCAATAGAACTACGCACTGAGTCGGCTGCCGACTTGGCCGCCACCAAGTCAGCGAAAACCGCTCCATGTGTCATGGCCCTTATTGTAATGACTGGACTATTAGTATAATTAAAGCTAGTCAGTGGAGAAGGGCTGGAAATACTCATAAGACTGTTTGACATGTAACCTGCTAAACTGATTCTTAATAAGCCAGAAGGGTGAAGAGGTGGCTGAGTGCTTTTCAGGAAGCTGAGAGTCACTGACTAGAAGCAGAAGGCATTGGAGAGGTATGGCCTGTGACTTAGAATGCCAGGGCTTGAGTGCATCTGGGTTCAAGCCTCGGGGAGCCCCAAATTTAACTGTAAATACTATTTGTTTTGTTGATACATTTTAATTTCAGCCATAAAGACAGTCAAATAAATGAAAAAGGAACTGTCATTAGGTGACTTAACAAGGTTATCCATGTAGATACTATAGAGTTCTGATGATGGTGTATAACACACAAAGATACTGGGTCCAGTGATTGAGGCTATTTCTTTCTAAGGGGCCCAACAGAGTAGGTATCTTCCATCACCTGAGGACGGAAACAGATCCAGCTTCCAAAACGTTGTGTTTTTTCTTAGTTATTTAGAATCCGGACGATGGACAAAGTCCGAAAACCCAATATCTCTGAAGGTTATCCATGGTTCAGAATTACGGACCTGTCACTGCAATTCTGACGCTGCTGTTTGCTTTGCAAGCAGCACACTATTTTCAACAAAGCAGTGTGTTTCTGGTTTGTTAGGGTTGGTGTTGGGTGGGATAAGGCATGTGAGGTTAAGATGTTATTCTCATCAAATTAATGTGAAGAGGACAAAAAATTGTCTGAATACATTTTATGGCTTATTCCTTCTACTTTTTTTGCATTTATGACTATCCTTATCTATTTTGCATTGTATCTTTAATTTCTCAAGTGTGCGCCCATATCATAAATTTGGCCATGACACATCTGCCCTATCTCTATTCCTCTGCTAACTATAAACACATGAAAAAACATTTGTTTTTGACCTTCCAACAAATTTAATAAGACCTGCAGGTCAGTGTGTTTGAAACTCCTAGTGGTGGTATACCTACAATCAGCAAGTGTCTGCAAGATTATTTCTTTCAGATTTTGTGCAACTTCGTTTTATTTTGAAGACAACAGTGACCCATTCTAGAGCAACTGGAATGCATAAAAGAGGCTTTCTTGGGTTTTAAATAGGAACGGCATTCCTTCTTCAGAAAGTCCATATTTCACATACCTCTCTCCTGAATCAATTGGAGACATCATTCATCAGAAAAGTTTACTTCACCTGAGGCATGGTCCATAAGACACTTGAAACTGGTAGTGGCTCTGTCTCAAACACATCCAATATCGCAGCCGACAACCATCCTCTGCTTAGAGCATTTACTAAATCCTTTTCTTTTATGACTGTTCCTCGTCCTATGTTAATGAATACTGGCTGCTTCTGTGCACAATGTTTTAGCATGTCCTCATTCAGGAGGCCAGTGGTGCCCGGGGTAGAAGGAAGAACACTGATTATATAATCACAGTTGTGGAGTAGATCCGGTAAATCTGAATGTAATCTGCATGAACAAAGTAACATAAGTTGTTCACAGTACAGTTGTTTGTTCACCTTCATCAACCTGGAACCTATGATTATTCAGTCAGTAGCAACATGGCAATAAGCTTGATACTTAATGCAAAGCAACACTGCTATAAAGAATGTAAATGAGATGACAGTACACAAGGAATAATTGTGCTTCAAACTAGAAAAACTACTGCTTGGTTCATCAAATGGAAGAATTACAATGGATTCTGTTAACAAAAATGAAACAAATAACTCTGTGGCCTGTAGTCTGCAAGTGAACTATACTGACAAAGCGACCACTGCTTGTCAGCGGAGTTAGTGGCAACTTTAGTGGACAGGGGGTGTCACGTGGTCAGCGCAACGAATCCCCACAGCCCTTAATCTCAGTTTTCTAGATAGGAGCTATTATTTCCTTGAAATAGCTTCTCAGTTATCCTCATGAGGCTGAGTGGACCCCATTCCAGACCCACTACTACTCAGAAAATCGCCGGGAATCCAACCTGGGACCTCTGGATCTGTAGCCAGGAACCCTGACCACTAGACCACAGAGATGGTCAGATTCTGTTAACATTAGGGTGATTTTCTGGTAGTGTATGTAATTAATTTTTCCCCATCTCCAATTCTTTGGCTGTTTATTGACAAACTTAAGAGGGAGGGGTCTGTAGTGTAATATCATTCAACGGTCTAAACCTGCAGTTAAGGATTGATTACCTAAGCTGATAAATTGTTCACTGTTTATTACTGTGATATGATGTATTTAATCCAGTCATGTGTAAATATAGATGGGTTCATCATTCATTCACTCCTTAGACTGTTTATGCCATTTGAACACATTACTGCAAGATAAAAAGTCCTTTTGTGAATGTGTTTTTCTTCAGCTGAAAAATAATTTTATTGCATATTTCTGCATATCCATAAGAGCTATGTGTAGCACTACTTTATACTATTAGCTGTACCAGAATATACCTGCTAAACTGACGATACAATGATAGTTCATATTCTTGCAGGAAAGTAACATCTGATAATTATTTCTGATGTAAGTGACATATGAAAAATTTCCTGTATATTTGTTTTCCAATTTTATTTTAGAATTAAAAGATTGGAAAGGAAATGCCTGTGGTTGTACGTAGCAGTGATAAGTGAAATCTTTACTCTGAGTACAGCCAAACACTAATTCTGAAGTGAAGCCTCTAATGAGGACTGAGTTTGTGATGTGTTAACAGACCAAGCCAACAGACATGGATCAGGAATAGTGACAGGGGAATCTGGAGCAATTAAACCAGCCCCAGATCCCACAGAGATTTCGCTGACAACATGCGAGTTCTTCAGTGAGAACACATCCTCTAATCACATGAGATTTGGCATGCAGATTTAATACTATCTTTTTTCAGAACTACATTTTGTGATTGTTCAAGGAAAAAAAGTCTGGTGTGCTAGACACATGCTAATCAGTAGTCATTATCAAAGCAAGGACCCAAAGGGAGGGGGACTGCAATATGGGTCCTTTCGTTGGTGCTTGCCGAATCATCTTGCTATCTGAGGAACATTTCCTGTTACAAAAATATGTTTAAATTATTGCAATAACTAAAACATCAACTTTTTGTGTAAGTTAAATTAAATACGTAAAACTGTTTATTGTACCACACAGTCCATCAACAATGCAACAATGTTATATTTTAGCGTCCTGTTGCACTGATTCACATTCATGATGTGTATTTGTACCAACTGTCTTACAGTGCGCACAGTTTCACTTTTCTCTTCACTACATGTTTCGGCAATATTGTGCCATCTTCAGGTGCGATTTTGTTTACGTCAAACCATTGCACTGTATGCCATCATGTTTCCTTTATAAAATGATTAAAATGTAAATATGTCATGTATAATAATAAAATATATATATTAAAACTTTTCAAGATTTATCATCTATACGTCGCACTTCAAATTCGCGATTTACGTCAATCCTCTCCTATGGGAGTACTCTTCCTATATTCTTGTTAGGGCCGAAACCTGTTGTGTCGAAAGTGAATGTGTAAGAGAGAAGGGACAATTTGTTGCACTGTTGATGGGCTGTGTAGTACATAAACAGTATTAGATATAGTAATGTAACAGGATGCTTAAATACAGGATTAAATTAAATACACTAAGTCAAAATTTTCTTTTTTACCTGTATTCATCTATGTAAGGTGACTTGTTATCTTCTGAAGGTACTGTACAAACTAAGCCCCAAACACAAGCATGTAGTGTTTTCAGTAACTTGGCAACTGAAAGCAAACAGTTCTTGAACTATTTTTTTTTTCTGTGTGAAGGAGAAAATTAGAAACACTTCATGTTGAACAATATGCATATGGATTATCATAAGTACAATATATGTAAACTTATTGTTTTCAGTATTACTGTGCTGTCAGTTCCTGCTATTTCTGTATTCATATAATCCATCTGAAAGATGCAAGCAGCCCTCAGTTTGGAAACCCCTACTCTGCTCCAGCCCTCTGACATTTGGTGGATAAACAAATGTAATCAGATAAAATCTTAAAGGGCTGTCACAACCAAATATAGTATTTTTCATTTTAGACTGGCTTCAACTTGGAAATTAAATGCTGTGTACAGCCATGACTACTCACTATCTCTTCCTATTGTTCCAGCACCAAGGATTCCTATGGTAAGATCTGCAATCGTGCGGTGGTTAGAAATCTTTCCATCTATTTTCCACAGGCTGGATTGCTGATTTTCATATACAGCCATCAAGTTTCGTTCATGGTTGACAATATTAGCTACCACATACTCACCCATTGCAGAGCCAAAAAAGTAATTAGAAAATCGTGTAATAATAAAGGATGGTTTTGGCTGTGAACATATGAAAGTCACAGAATGCTTTCAGCAATTTATAATGAATAAATAGGCGCATACAATTCTTTTCTCTCTCTTATGGGCAAGATATTATTTAAAACAGAAGTTTGCAAACTTTTAGAGAAAACTTATTATCTCAAAACATAGTCTAAATTGACATGAACTGCCTAAGCTTGGTTTAAAATTGGCCATTTATTTCAGAAATTATTGATGCACATGAATACCATATATCATACTAGTAGATTCTAAAGGGTTCTGATGATGGTGTATAACACTCAGAATTACTGGGTCTTGGATTTTGTCCATTGTCCACTATTCTAGAAATTGGATGGAAATTGAGGTTCGCTCTTTCTAAGGGATCCAACAGAGTAGGTGTCTTCCTCCTCCTCATGTGAGGATGGAAATGTATCTAGTTTCCGAAACATTGTGCTTTCTTGTTCCTAGAATACCGGATGATGGACAAAGTCCAATTCTGAGCATGTATCATACTATAAGAAGAAATGAGAGAACACAAGAGAAAGACTGTACACATGAAGAGTCTTCTTGTGGTAGTAATTTGTGTCATTCTACATTATAGTCATCCCATGAACATGACTGTGAAGGAATTATACAAGTTGAAAGAAAGGAAAATGATATTTATTATGTTAGCAGTCATCGACATAATAATGAACTTATTTTATAGTTTAGTTAATGGTGTTGTGGGCCACACATAATACACATACAATCTATAAAGCTTATATTTCATACAGCTGTTTTGGGATACAGTATTTGTGTTTAAAGCATTTAAGTCTGTCAATTTTTGCTGGACTGGGCAAACACTTTTCAATGAAATTAGGCACTCCAACTTTAATTATATATTTACTGTATTTGGAATTTGCATACTTTGCTGACAACATAGTGCTGCACTATAGTTTCTACACCAGCGAAGGTTCCTTGGACCCATTTGGCAGCTGGTAAATTGTAAAGCTGCATTCCCAGCAAATTATTGTCTGCTACGATTATCTCGGCCTGTTTTAATATATTTATGTCTTCAACTGATGCACCTAGGAAAAAATTTGGGGAAAGGTTAGGAATAGAAGAGCATAAAATATGGCAGACCATGATCAGACTACAAATTAAACTGTTTTACTTTTATTAGACCATTATTGTACACAACATTCTCTGAACTGGTGAAGAACACATTTACTATATGAAATCTAACCCTTAACCAATGGAAATTTAAACTTAAAATAGGTCCACTGTATTGTGTTAAGTAGATATAAATATATGTTAATAGCTTCAGAAAAACAACAGCTTTATTTGTACTTATTCAAAAAGGTTACTTGTATCAGGGTCAGTGTGATAACATTGTCATGCCTTTTCAATAGAATGTGTGGAGGAAATTTTGCATGTGTTTGAGTAGGGTTGCTCATGTGCTAAGGTAGCTCACAGTCAACTTTCAAGCATCACATCATCGACATCTCTGTATGTCTCCTACTCTCCACATATAATTTCAATTGTAAATATCCCCACACAAATCACTAATACCCAAGTAAGTTTTGAGGTTTTCACAGTGGTGACTATGAAGAATGCTGTCATTTGATATGTTGTGCTGTGTAGATTTTGTGTGAACTGACGTTTTGAAGGAACGCATGGCCTTCATCTTCAGGATAGAAAAATACTGAATGAGGAACCACCATGTGCTGGTGGCTACAGACTTTGATTTCTCTACCTTGAAGATGGAGGCGATACATTCTTCTGAAATGTTGGTTCACACAAGATCTACAAGGCATCACAGAAGACAGCATTATTCACTAAATACCCACTTAATCTCCATGTATTTAATGTCTGGCTGATTCTATTACAAAAATATACTGCTAGACTTAAACCCCCACTCTACTGAGGCATCAGCCTGATTTTATACGAGAAGCGTTCTGTATAAAATGCCTCCTATTTTTTTAATGAAAACTACAACAGATGCAGAAAGCATAATAATGGTGTTGCGAAAACATATGAGGGCAAGCAATGCAATAAATTGATGTAATTGGGACACCTGATGATGGCACTATGTTGCTGAAACATGTTGTGAAGTGACAGGTGAAATTGAGTGCACTAAAAGACGGCCACTGTATACATATAATGGATGAAAATCAGTGCAACAGGACGCTAAAATATAACATAATAATGCAGTTAAATAGAGCAAGATTTCAGCTACTTACAGTTATTTTTCCACATAATCACAACCATTCATTATGCACTTTTGCCAGCAATGAACAAGAGCCTGTATGCCGCGCCCGTAAAAGTCTGCACCAGCAGAGGCTAGCCACTTTCATAGGCCCAAAGAGATGGAAGTCTGAAGGTGCTAAGTCGGGACTATAAGGTTGATGTGGTAGGACAGTCCAGCCAAACTTTGCAATGTCTGCAGTGGTCACCAAACTGGTACGGGGTCTAGCATTATCGTGTTGCAAGTGAAAGGTTGTCTGCTTCTCTGGTCTGACTCGGGAAATGCGGGCGTTCAGCTTAGTCAGTGTCGTCTTTCAGACCCCGCCTATCCCAAAAGACCGTGCACATCATTTTCCCTGCCGATGGCTGGTTTGAACTTCTTTTTTCTTGGGGAATCCGGATGTCGCCACTCCATGGACTGTCTGATTCTGGCTCGTAGTGGTGACACCACGTCTCATCTCTGGTGACAATGCTGTGCAGAAACTTGTCACCTTCAGCCTCAAACTGGTGACAGACTTCCATTCAATGGGTTTTGTGGTTCTGTGTAAGCATCCGCGTGACCCACCTGGAACAAACTTTGCTATAATCCAGCTTCCCCAACATCTTTTCCAATGCATTACAGCCGATATTAAGCCGTGCACACAGTTCTCTGGTCGTTATCCGCCGATCTGTGCGGATGAGCTGATCGAGGCGCTGTTCATTGTGAGGAGTGGCAGCTGAGCAAGGACGCCCACGGCGTGGCTTGTCGTGCACTTCACTTTCGCCACTGTTGAAACGCACTACCCACCGAATCACTGTGCTGACATCCACTGTATTGTCTCCATACACCTTTAGCAAGCATCGATGGATGTCAGTGGGTACAATTTGTTCGGCAGTGAGAAATTCAATAACACATCTGTGTTTCATATGCACTTCTATGTCAGACACCATTTTTGTAGACTGCTCTGCTGTCGGTATCTGTCGCACGACAAACAAAGTAACAGTACATTGGCGGGAAGGTTCAACCTTTACTACAACACCACCAACATCCAGCTCAGATGTTACATATTAACACAAAAAAAATAGGAGGCATTATATATAGAACGCCCTTCGTATTTACATTTTATAGAATCATAACAGATGCTTCATACGTATCTTACCTTTTAGTATTAAACTGAACACAGATAACTACCATCTTATCCCATGAATAATATTATTAAAAAAACGTGTAGAATTTTTAAACATTCCACTGAATAGTTCCAATGAGTAATTAACACAGCAAAGAGTAGTTACATTCCGAGTCCCAAAGACCTGATATATTTTACTATTATGAGGTAAATATATGGAATAATGGCTACAACAAAAAAACATACATCCTTCATTTCATATTTTAAAACTAAAAAAATTCTCAGAAACATCAAATCTTAATAATTTCATAAACAAATACAATTATAATTTGCTATACGATTCATTTAAGAGGAGGGCAGGGAATAAGCAAGTTTTCAACTTACCGTACCTATAACTGTAAGTATTCTAAAACAAAAATGACTAATACACTACATTTCGATGAATTTGATTTGTTTCATTCTGGTCCATTACATTAACAATTACAAAGACAAAAACAACACCGTCCAGTGTGACTATTTAAGCTTTATCCCTTGGAAACTCATCACCCTTACATGTTTCGATCCCTACAGATCCTCAGAGGGCAGTGTTGATGAGTTTTCAAGGGATAAAGCTTAAATAGTCACAGTGGAAGGTGTTGTTTTTGTCTTTGACACTACATTTCATTCACAACCAAATGCCCAGTATTTGAGTATACTGGTGTGATAATGAGCAAATTTATTCAGTATCCAATTTACACACCCATATTACATACCATCTGGCAGCTAATTCCAGGTAAATTAATATGTGTACATGCTTACAAGAGAAAACTACAGGAAGACATGCAAACCCTTACAAGCATTCTGACGATGTCTTAAATCTGTAATTACACTGCACATGAGCAAACTGGCAAGCAATATTTGAAACACTGATAGTATGCCTTTCAGTCTTTCTTATTCAGACATACTGAGCATTTATTCTTATTTGATATTTGTACTGATGACTGGATGGAAATGATGATTCAGTTCCCACAATGACAGAAGGCAATCTTTGGAGAGTAAGGTATTCGATTCTTCAGATTCTGAACGGTGGTCACTACATTCAGCATCACTATTTCCACCAGTACCAAGGCGGTAGCTTTTTCAATCCGGTGTATTCTCTCTCTCTCTCTCTCGGAATCTCCATAACGATACAGAAAAGCTGAAGATGCACTGGCAAACACACCTAACCTTGGCTAGGCCCCTGTAACTCAACTCAGTTATTTTACGGATCCCGAAGAGTACTAAGAATTTCACTGTTCTGTTGCCAAATTACTCACAGATTCAATGAATACAAAAACCCCTCAAGCAATCGGGTCCCGGGTTTGCCGAATACGTGTTTAAAAAAAAAACTTGCAACACTTCATCGAACAAGAGTTAAATGCCGTGGACCAAGAGCTGTATTTATTCGCCTACCTTGCCACGCCAATAGCAGACACACATTTGTATTTAGAAGGCTCTGTGATAGACCTTCCAGCCAGGTGTGCATAACGCAATTCAATTGCGTTATTTTATTTCAATTCCTAATCTTAAATTATGTAAACGTAAAATAAATTACCGGGAGAAACTTCTTGAAATTGAATATTTGGTAAAATGGTTTTTAAACACTTCGTTAGATCGAAAATCTTGCTGTAAACTGGTACAAACCTCACTTCGCTTGTCGCCATCCTCATTTAAATATGAGTCAAATTAAATACTTTGGTTTCGTGGAAAGGGATGTCGACGTTTCATACATAGGAAGTTGAATGAAGAAACAGCAAACACATTATTTTCCCCAGATTCCTTAATTTGTAGATAATTGTATGCTTGTGTTACATTTTCTTAAACATGTAAGTTCAGACACTGGATAAGTCTCCAACAACATGCGTCAATTCCCGCGCATTGCATGTTGGTACTGAATTGTATGGATCCGCCATGATGTCCAAGAAAACGAGCTCTACATACAAGTTTGGAAGTGTTATTTTTAATATTGTGACTGAGTGTGAATGAATTGCCATAATGGGAACGAAATAAGAGTATTGTAGGTTTATTTAGTACAGGGTATATACCCTCCGGGGCCCTGTAAAGGGACGGTACAGTGGTTTTTCCTGTCGTGGCCAATGTGTTCTTAGCCTGTCAACAAAAATGAGCAAGCTCTCGTTTCGGGCTCGGGCGCTGGACGCCTCAAAGCCCATGCCAATTTACATGTCTGAAGAACTACCAGATCTACCTGACTACTCGGCAATTAACAGAGCAGTGCCACAAATGCCGAGTGGAATGGAAAAAGAGGAGGAATGTGTAAGTTTTCTCACAAAGAGGGTAGTGTTAAAGCGTGATTGGTCAGCCATGTTGGATTTTATGCTTTGAAGTGTGACCGCTAGATGGTATTTTCATGTTTTGAAACAAGTTTATTGTGATATTTTTACGTTTATTACAATGAACTACTAAAATCTTGCACTGTATTGTAATAAATTAATATGAATTCTTTCACATACACATCTAACAACAGTTGTCAATAGCCTTTAATGGCAATACGCCGAAAACTTAACCTTACTTTTATACCCACTATCCACTTACACCCACTTAACGAAAAACATTTTTAGCAATTCCCGATATGAATGTTTTGTATTGATAATAGTTATTTATTACATATTAATTACTCAGAAATTTACATGCAGTTGGTATAGTTTCATTAGTGAAAGATTAGTATACATGCAACTGAAGAGTTTGGTATTAGAAGCATTTATGATTTTAAGTTACTTGTGGCACATAGCGAAGGATATGCCACGAAAGATACAGAAGATCAATTAATGTGAATTCTAGACACGAATTGGTGATAATTTATAACTGACAGAACATGATTATGTCTCATATAGGAACACCATCTTCAGCGTGCTATATGCACAGGTCTCATCATCCCGACACCTGAAGTTGTGGATTTGGCAGATTTAGAAGCTTACAACAAGATCTATCCCCTTGACTACAAACTTCCACGACAACTTATCCATATGCAGCGTAAGTTTAATTTTTAGAATTTACTCCAGTAGAATAAAATTGCACGTGCTGAAGGTCATAGACAATTGTTTTCTTTCCATCAGCATTTGCAATGGAGCAAGACATCCCAGACTACGATATGGATTCAGAGGATGAGAAGTGGGTTCATTCACAGGCCAAGAAGATGGATCTTTTGCCGTTGAAGGTATTATTTCATGTTTTAGAAGTGATCTCGTTGATCCAGGCATTTTATTGATTTTTTAATTAAAATATTTTGGGTTGTAGTGACTGGTGAAGTATAGTGTAGACAGAAAATTTCAGACCAATACAGTATTTGCATAGTTCAAGACTTGTAATGTTAGAATCAAATATCTTTAAGGTAGAACCTGCTACAGATCACAAGTAATCTGTACAGATTTCTGTCACTGCCACTAAGGAACCTATTGAGCATGTTGTATGCTTCATGTGCACATAAATCTTTTAACAGACAGATGGAATAATGAGCAAAGTCATATTTTTTGTAAATATATATTAAGACTGCTATTAAGTAATTTTTATTACCTGTGTTGTAAAGGTTGTTTCTTTTTCTTCTTTTTTTTTTTTAATGAAAGTTGTGTGTCAGTCATAATAACACAAATTTGTAGAAGTAAAAATTTTCCTACTTTTACTGCATTCACTGATGAGGTTGGAAATGAGGTCCCTGCTAGGTATTGAGGTGGTGTTTTTTTTTTCTTGGCACTACAGCCCCAGTGGGCCTAGGCCTACACCTACCTCCATGAACTCCGTTCACTTCGGTTTTTCTAGATCTTACACATATGGTAGGACTCCTTGGGCGAGTGATCAGCTCGTTGCAAGGCCTCTACCTGTAGACAAACACAGAAAAACGCACACAAACATCCATGCCCTGACTGGGATTCAGACCCATGATCCCGGCTTCCGAGCGAGCGAAGACAGTGCATGCCTTAGACAGCTTGGATACCATGACCGGCATTGAGGTGGTGTTAGTGTGGCATATACAGAATGCATTAAAGCATACTTAATATTAATAATATGTTTTCAATTAGTGTTTCAAGTCCCGGTGAGGTCATTGGATTTTTTTCAATTCACCTAATCCTTCTGGCCGCACTAGGCCCTGGGGTTTACTCAGCCTCTAACAGAAATGAGTATCCGGAATTAACTAAATAATTTTCCTGGGGAGTGAAGTGCGGCCGGCGTGTAAGGTTGACAACCTTACCGCCATCTTTGAGCCAATTGTCAAGGTAATGTGAGACCCTTAACGTCTCACAACCCTATGGGCCTTCATGGCCTGTTACAGGGATAGCTTTACTTTTTTTTACTTTTACTTTTTTCAGTTAGTGTATATTTTATTAATCCCCAGTTGACAATCTTTCAGTTTTAAACTGTTTAATATACAACATTTTATTATTGAGTTGGAAATTTTGAGAATCCATATGTTATGTTATGCATATAGGTATATTTATAGAGTAAATTAAACTTGTGCAGTACAGGAAGGAACTATGTGTAGAACTTGGCCAACCTGAGCTGTAAATTATAACATTTTCTTTGACATTGTGCAGTACTCCATATTTATGTTTCCTTGTATGGATAGCTGCTTCTGACCAGGTTAAAGAGATTGTAATTATGGCTGTAATGTTGCCATCAGGACTTACTAATTTGATTTATTTATTTGAGGTTTATTTAAGATTGCTCTCAGTAGCTGACAGCATGTAATGCTGAATGATGAATTGGGAAGGATGTGAAAGTGTGGAGTTAACGGCCTGTTTTGAAGTTTTAAGCCAGCATTTTTGGGGCAGGGACTAAGGAAGGCGATGAAAATCCTAGAGATAGTTGATGTCCCAACCAAGATTCAAACCAGATACTTCCCAAATACAAGTCAGAAGCATTATCACCTAAGCCAACTTGCTTAGTAGTGTTATCAAGACAACCTTCTGTATGCCCTTAAGAAAAAATGTTTCGGGTTGAATGACAAGCCACGCATGCAGCTCTTCTTTCATTTATTGGGCACTGGTAAAATAGCAGCCTCTCAGAGTGTCTTTGAATGGACAAAACAGGTGATAATTAGGAGAAGCATGTTCGGGACTATATGGAGAATGCTTCAGCACCTCAGAGTTCAGTTGGCAGCAATGTGTAGATGGATGTTATCATGCAACAGTGTGACACCTTTCAACAATAGTCCTCAGCATTTGGATCATATAGATGACTTCATCAGGTCCCGAAGAATTTTACTATAATGGATGCTGTTTGTTGTTATGCCTCTCTCTAGGTACTGTTACACAATTGACCCTTGTGCATCCCGAAATTGTCAGCATCACTTTCCTGCCTATGGTTGAGTTTTGAACCTCTTTTTGACTGGCAATGTCGGATGTTTACGTTCCATATGCTGATGTTTGCTTTCTGGAGTGTAATGGTGGATTCATATCTCATCCTCAGTGACAGTGTATCTCAAAAGAGCACCGCCTTCATTGCAGTAATGGTTCACTAGGCCTTGGCAGATTGTCAAACAGTTGTGCATGTGCTCTCATGTCAGTTGTTTTGAAACCTCTCTTGCTCAAACTTTATGGATCCCACGTCTGTCTTCGATGTTTCCGTGAGCAGGACCATGACCATTGTGCATATGATATTTCACATCATTGGTAGTCACGCATCAGTCATCCAGAATAATGACACAGGCATGTTCAGTGTTTTCCTCTGTAGTTGATGTGGACAGGTGACTTCTTTTTTCATCAGTGACACTTGTGCAACCATTTTTTCACATGGTTTCTTCACTACAGTAAAGCACTGTTTCCATGTTGTGCAGAAAGTATGCAGTGCAGTTCTGCCCCTGGTACACTTTCACCCACAGAAATCATATCACTTCACACTGCTATTCTTTGGTGCATATAGTGGCCACATTAACTCTGCTACAATGACATAAGTGGCCAGTCAAGATCAGAATTATTTCATAATCACAAAGGGAGTTTGTGCTTCTAAGTGCATGCAAACTAAGCAGTACAGCCAACAGAACAACTTTGAAATAAATCATTACAGAAACTTTCTGACCTACATATATGTACAAAGTAAAAGGTAAAGTTGCCCCTTTGTTTAATTAAACACAATGTAGTGGAGGTAAAGCTCCATGAATTTGTAACCTCAGCATTAGATGTACATGGGTGGTTAGCTTCATGCCCTAGCCATGCTCTAACCCTAGGGAAAGAGCTCCTGGTACACATTATGTATGAGACTTGGTGGATCCAGAGGTGGTCTGGATGCTGTGGAGAAGGTAGAAATGTCTTACTTCTGTTGCGGTTCAAACCCTGATTCCTCAGTCATTCAGCCCATAACCTAGTCTCCGTAATTACTGAAGTAAATCAAGGCACTGTATTTATAGATAAATCATGTCTTTATTTGAATCAATATTGAGTAGCTTGACTCCGTCTTCTGTTTTGGTTGTGGCCTGATCAGATGTTTCCTTCTGACGCAAAGAGGCTACACATTTTGTGCTCTTATATTTTTTTATTGCTAGTGGGGTGGGACTAAGCCCCTTGTACTGTGGCCACTTCTGACCTATTGTACCGNTTCACATCATTGGTAGTCACGCATCAGTCATCCAGAATAATGACACAGGCATGTTCAGTGTTTTCCTCTGTAGTTGATGTGGACAGGTGACTTCTTTTTTCATCAGTGACACTTGTGCAACCATTTTTTCACATGGTTTCTTCACTACAGTAAAGCACTGTTTCCATGTTGTGCAGAAAGTATGCAGTGCAGTTCTGCCCCTGGTACACTTTCACCCACAGAAATCATATCACTTCACACTGCTATTCTTTGGTGCATATAGTGGCCACATTAACTCTGCTACAATGACATAAGTGGCCAGTCAAGATCAGAATTATTTCATAATCACAAAGGGAGTTTGTGCTTCTAAGTGCATGCAAACTAAGCAGTACAGCCAACAGAACAACTTTGAAATAAATCATTACAGAAACTTTCTGACCTACATATATGTACAAAGTAAAAGGTAAAGTTGCCCCTTTGTTTAATTAAACACAATGTAGTGGAGGTAAAGCTCCATGAATTTGTAACCTCAGCATTAGATGTACATGGGTGGTTAGCTTCATGCCCTAGCCATGCTCTAACCCTAGGGAAAGAGCTCCTGGTACACATTATGTATGAGACTTGGTGGATCCAGAGGTGGTCTGGATGCTGTGGAGAAGGTAGAAATGTCTTACTTCTGTTGCGGTTCAAACCCTGATTCCTCAGTCATTCAGCCCATAACCTAGTCTCCGTAATTACTGAAGTAAATCAAGGCACTGTATTTATAGATAAATCATGTCTTTATTTGAATCAATATTGAGTAGCTTGACTCCGTCTTCTGTTTTGGTTGTGGCCTGATCAGATGTTTCCTTCTGACGCAAAGAGGCTACACATTTTGTGCTCTTATATTTTTTTATTGCTAGTGGGGTGGGACTAAGCCCCTTGTACTGTGGCCACTTCTGACCTATTGTACCGGCCCCAGATGATATGTGAGGGTGATCGTGGAGCAATTGATGGAATGAAGATTAGCAGGGGAAACCGAAGTACTCAGAGAAAACCTGCCCCAGCGCCACTTTGTCCACCACAAATCCCACTTGACCAGACCCGGGATCGAACCTGGGCTGCCGCAGTGGGAAGCCAGCGACTAACCGCTTTTTATTCTATTAACTCCAAGGACTGAAAGATTTCTGAACTGGGCTTTGAACACCAACTGTTGAAGTTCATTCCAAGTACGATAATATAAAAGCTCTGTGGTTTTAGTCTGCAAGTGAACTATACTGACCGAGCAACCACTGCTTGTCAGCAAAGTTAGTGCCAAGTAACCGCCTCTGCCGTCTAGTGGTCAGAGTTCCTGGCTACAGATCCAGAGGTCCGAGTTCGATTCCCGGCACTACCAGATTTTCTGAGAAGTCCTAGGTCTGGACTGGGTTCCACTCAGCCCCGTGAGGATAATTGAGGAGCTATTTCAAGGAAATAGCAGCTCTGGTTTAGAAAACTGAAATTAATGGCTGTGGGGATTTGTTGTGCTGACCACGCAACACCCTCTATCTGCTAAAGTTGGCAGACATGATAATATAATGGATATAAATCTAGAGAATTTGATATCAAAGTAACAGTGTGTCTTGCAGCTGTAGCATTATCCGACACTTTAAAAGGAGTGGGTAAGATGAATATAAAATGCCTATTTTGAATGCTTAAGGTGGAAAATTTTTTCTATGTACTGAATTATTGAAACTGAACAAGTCTGTTTATACATGTACCAGAGTACTTGTATGTTCGGCATATCATACATGAGCTTCATTTACATTGTTTGCAACTAGTCTTTTTCTGGCTTTTTAAAACTGTCATTTTGTTGCATCATTTATTATGCACAGTGCTGTAAAATAGGAAGGAACGCAGTTGAAAACCTTGTGAATATCCCAGTTGAGTACATCTTTCCATGCTTGTTATCTTTATTTGGATACAGGCAGCTTATTCACTACAAAGAAATCATCATTGAAACAGAGGTCAAGAGAAGAAGCAAATATGAACTCAAATTGTTATGAAATTGTCTTTCTTTCCAAACAAGGGTGTACAGACCGCACTATTTCATTTTAGGCGACTAAGGCAACACTGTCGTTATCCTCAGTCTCTTCTAATTTGCATAGTGCAGTAAACTGTCAGCTATCTGGTACCCAAGACTTTTCATGCAGTTGGTAAAAATATAAAAAAATGAATGCAATTTTATAAAGTTACTTCAGAAACAAAGCTGTGCCCTTCATATGATCACGTGTGTCACAGTAATTCTCCCAGCTGCCACTAGAATGCTGCCTGTTGTCCTCCCTTATGCAAGTGTCATGAAGTGATGTGTGATTACATTAGAGGTTAGTTGAATTTGTGATTGCGATTCAGTGAAAACTGAAAGTAACGGCCATGGGGATCCGTTGTGCTGACCATGCGACACCCTCTATCCGCTGAAGGTGACACTAACTTTGCCAACAAGCGGTGGTCATTCGGTTGGTATAGTTCACTTGCGGATTAGAGGCCACAGAGTTTTTATTATTTGATTCAGTATATCCAAAATCTTTGAGCCATGAACCCACTATGCCTCCCGAGAAGACTCCTGTGCAAAAACTAAACAGAACAACTGTGTTTGCTTTGAATTTGAATCAGAAAATGGAAGTATTAGGAGCCTGGAAAAGTGTGAAAGTTGGGTTCTGTAAGATTCTGTTCAGTAATGAAACCTGTTGAGGACCCTCATGACATGATTTGTATTGGAGATGGGAAGAGTGTTTTTTTTTTTCAGTTTGTTAACATAAAATGAGTAACTTTCATTGTCAGGAATTATCAACATCATACACTGCCATGTTACACAAGTAATGTTTGAGGAATTTTCTTTTAAATGTTACCATGTCATGTTTGTAATCTATATAATGTGCAGAACTCAGCATCATGTTAATGGGGCTGCTCTCCCACCAGGAAACAGATTTTTTTTGGATATAGCTATTGGAGAAAGCTTCTGGATACATGCTAGTGATAAGCTAAGTTTAAAGGTTTATGATGATGCATTCCAGTAAACATGACCATTGTTTTGGATAGTGTTTGCTGCAGTATGTATTGTAAAAGCACAGTGTTTCAGAAACTGATTCAGTTTCCAAAATGTTATATTTGAAAATACTCAAGACAAAGGGTAGTGTCCAGAATAATAGTCATGGTTATGTGGATATGATATTTGCAGCAAATATGCTGAATAATCTGTTGGCAAGGATGGAGTTTTCTCTTTAGAATAGATTTTCTTAAGTTTTATGTTATTTAAATTTATCTGTGTTTTTACTATAATATTTTATCAAGTATCTTTCCATTTTTATTGAGCAGTTTGAAGAGATGATGGACCGTTTAGAGAAGGGCAGTGGGCAGACAGTAGTGACTCTGCAGGAAGCCAAATCTCTGTTGAAGGAAGATGACGATTTGATCATTGCTGTCTATGACTACTGGCTTAACAAGAGGCTCAAAACTGTGAGTTTCTTCTTTGAAATTAAGTTTCTCAAAGAATACTGATACATACAAATGCAAGAAAGGGAATATCATTGGTGAATTCAGCATCTAAAATATGACAGTCTTAATTTTTTCCATCTTTTTTATTACATAATTATTTAATAAATAAATTACTTAAGGAAAGCAGGAGGTGGACCCTTTGAAATTAATCATTATTTGTGTATTTATGGGCTGAAAAGCCCAAATATATTGTGTCCTTGTATTAGCATTTAAGTATAAATGTGTTTTAGGTAAAAATATATATTGCATTGGCATACACAAAGAATATGGAACTATTCTGTACATTTGTCCTAAGAGCAACCTGCAAGACTAGTCGCTTCACATGAACTGTAGTGCATAATTTTAACCTCATCATCTCAGGACAGACTGAAATAGATACTAGTACTTTATGATAAGTGTGCTTTGAACAGTGTAAAACTTTGATTAACAAGCCGTAAAAAGCATATTTTGTGGTAAGCAATAAATTATGTAAATACCAGTACATGAAGCTGCTGGTAGGTATCACTATTATCAGCCTATGAGATGCCCGTAAAAGTCATGTGGTTAGTTATTGAAGGATTTAAACAAAAATAGTCTTGAAGAATGCCTTCTTCTGGGATGTGGTACTGTGTAGATGTTGTGTGAACCGACATTTCGGAGGAAGGTATCACCTCCATCTTCAGGATAGAAAAACCTGTGAGCGAGGAACCAGCGTGAGCAGGTGGCTGCAGTTTTGAGTGCATATTTCTCAGTTTTTACACCTATCATTGGTTCATCAGTATCCAAAACGTATTGTGATTCAAGAAAAATGAATACTAATTAAATCTAAATGTTTCTGTGTCACAGTGAAAGCAGACAGTGGTTTTAGTAATAATATAATTATTAGCAGTAACTTTAGAGTTTCTGAATCAAAAAGAATGTTGAGTCAAATAATTATGTAACTTAAGTTTAAGTAACAACACATTGTAAATGTGACTGAAATTTTAGAAGCCCATGGAAAGAATTAAGCCAAAAATTATTTGGTACATTGCTGCACACCAGACTTTTGATACAGTTTCTAGCAATCTTGGTACTGAAGCTAAGCAAATGAAGGTGAGCGTAGAAATTGTAGTGGATGTTGAGTTTTAGGAATTGGTTACTAATTGAGATGAACAGGTGTGTGATTGGACAACAGAATCATCAGAACAGAATGAAATTGAAGAAGGGGAAAATTGGGTACCTTCAACAGTTGACAGTCATAAAGTTCAGTTTATCCTGCATATATTGGTGAGTCAGGTCAGGAAGCTGAAACTGCAACTCTCTTTGTCTTCATATCAACTCAAGAAGTGTTCGGTGCCTTTTCAGCATGTGTCCTTAATTTAATAGGCCAATGTAAGGAAATATGTGCTTTGACATGGCAAATATGTTACTTTCATTTTTTTAGAGAGAAATCAAAGTTATGAATTTGTTTTTTAAGATTGCTATTTTAAGAACCTGAAATAACTTAATAAATACACTTTTGAAAGGGAATTTACATTAGAATTCAACAACTGCTGTATTTTGTTTTCTTGCCTTCACGGAACAATTAGCTGTGCCATGTGATTGTGGAGTCGGTATCTGATGCATGGTTAATTCTGAATGCCTCTAGTGTAAGCACTGGCAGAATGCTTTAATATGGCTTGAGGTACCTGCTGCATCTGGTTAATTCTCCCACTTCACTGTGAATGACTTAAATAATATAAATTTTGTTTTGTAAATTAAAATTTAGGATTGTGTACACTTTAGAATAATATTTGTTGTTATTTATTATTTCACTGTATTATATTCATCAAAAGTTGTTTAAATATGCAAATATTTATGATAATTAGTGTTCATTAATGGACATGATAAGTGGAAGGGGGAAAACTTCGAGATTATGAAGGACTGATAGAGCTTAGTTTTGGTATGGTTAAGAGAGGATTTTTCATATTGACCAAATGTTATGGAGAGTATCCATTGTGGGGCCATGTTAATTGGGTCCCTTATCACCATGGCATGTCACATCCTCAGGTTGTAGATGGAGAAAATGGCCTTCAGATGTGGAAGGTAGCTGCAAATATACTGAATAAGCAGTATTATACAAAACTATAATTTTGCCTGTGGTTTTGTATGGGAGTGAAACTTGGTCTCTGGCATTAAGGGAGGAACATAGACTGAGGGTGTTGAAGAACATGGTGCTGAGGAGAATATTTGGACTGAAGAGGGATAAAGTGATAGGATGTTAGAGGTCACTGCTTAGTGAGGAGCTTCATAACGTGTACTGTTCATCAAATATAAGTAGAATGATGAAGTCAAGGATAATGAGATGGGCAGGGCATGTGGCATGCATGTGGAGAAGTGGAATGTATATAAGATATTAATTTGAAAGCCAGAAGGAAAGAGACAAGTAGGATTACCTAGGCATAGGTGGGAGGATAATATTAAGTTGGATCTTAGAGAGATAGGATGGGGTGATGTTGACTGGATTGAACTGGCTCAGGTTAGGGACTCGTGGAGGGCTTATGTGAACATGGTAATGAACCTTCAGGTTCCATAAAATGTTGGGAAATTCTTGAGTAGTTGTGCAGCTGATTACTTCTCAAAAATGGTCTGGTTCTATGGAGTTAGTTATCCATTGTAAGTTTGTTACTCTAAATGGATCTGCTATACTTTGACTTCTTTTCTCTTTCACAATTTCAGCAACATCCTTTGATTCCTACTGTTAAAACGGAGCATCGATTGGGGTCAGCTGCAAACAATCCATACCTTGCATTCCGTCGTCGAACTGAGAAGATGCAGACTCGTAAGAACCGTAAGAATGATGAGACCTCTTATGAAAAGATGTTAAAACTACGACGAGACCTGAGTCGGGCTGTCACGCTTCTTGAGCTTGTGAAACGAAGAGAAAAGACCAAACGTGAACATCTCCACCTCACAATAGAAATCTATGAAAAGAGGTAAGCCTTAGAATATGTAGTAATTTTCTATACATAATAGCAAGTCTGTTACAGAGAATATTTGTTAGTACTGTATTGATCAGTAGGAGTTGTCTGCTCTGTTATGAGATTGTGTTATGCTCTGGTAAGTGGCCACCAATGTTTTGGAGGGACATCCATCTTCAGGGTTGAAGGTTGAAGGTTTTACCACAATGTTGGTATCCACCAAACAGATTACAACATAGTGTTGTAACTGAGAAGATCATAATATGACCCTTTACTGCCATGAATATTTAAAATCTTATATAATCATTAATTTGTTATTCTTGCATTTGAAGGAAAATAGGTGTGTGCACAGAACTTCTAGTTCAACAATATTATACCCTTGTGTTGTCTTACAGATATTCCAAGTGTAATTGTTCATCCTGGCACCTAAAATATAGAGATAGTAACAACTTCTGGGGTGAATATTTCAAGGCATCTCATGCTTGATACACAGTTCTATTGTATTGTTAGTGAAAAACAGTTTCATTTTGTATTGTGTGTCCAGGTCTGTCATAATTAGTTCTTTTGGAATCTCAGAAATTGATCTGGATTGTTGTAGGTATCAGGCAAGTGATTTCAGTGGCCAGATGTTGGCAGAAGTGTCTGCACTGAAGACACCACGTCCAGCATTTGCCCCTCTCTTCACAAACCAGTTTGGAATCAACCACCAGAACTGGGTGAACAAAGTGTCAAACAAGGTATGTTAGTGTATGTTGTATTTATTCACATAAATTTTGCCTTCTTTAGAGAAATTTGCAGTCAACAGGCTTGTCACTTTTTTTTTATTGAAAGTGTATTTACTAACAAAGTAAAAACTGTCTAAAATCAGAATCTTAAAAAGTATCTATGCTAGAGAAGATGACAGGTAGTGCTGTTAGTGATGGCTACAAGAACTGATGCTTAGCAGGTGAACATATGCACATTGCAAATTGGTTTTTGATTAACTTTATAAAAATGGTTCATTTTATTTAATATTTGTGCCAGTTGCATGAGAATTACAGATGCATGTGAGATGTTTGCACCATCTCTCCTTCGTCACCACCTACATTAAAAGACAGGCCAACCCCATCATCTCTGATTCCATCATCAAATTGAATTTATTCTCTAATTGTAACACACTTATGCAAGGTGTTCACATACTGAGGTTGGCCCTCACATGCGTGAAGAAATAGCAGTGAACTGTACCTCAGTGACACAGCAATAAAAGTAATTAATCACGGGAATGACCCACAGAGTTGCTAACTCCTCGGTTACATTAAGTACAATTCATACCAGAATTACATTTGTCTTAGAGAACACTTGTATATTGTGCTGCCTGTCCAAGAATGCAACTGACCACATGTTGCTTAGCAACCCAAGTTACATATCCAGCAAACCAGTAAATTTCATACTGACATTAAAAGTGTTATGCATAAACATTTTCTTACAGAACTATACAAAAATATTTGAACAAGTTGAGGATCTTAGCGAACATTGTTCTAGAAGAAACACTGGCCCACACCACGAGGACATTGGTTTTGAAAATAAACAGGCTTACCTTACCATACAAACCAAAAGAATGCCTTGACTTCCTTGTTGTGCAGTGGGATAGACTTACACATTTCTCACCCTTCTGTCAGCACAGCAAGGGTTCTCCCCCCTAGATCCTGGTGACTGTGGATGAACAGAGCTGAACTCTAATGTTGACATTTACTTTGCACCTTCCTCCAACACAAACTACAACACAGAAGAAAAATATAATGGCATATGTTGCTTGGAGTCAGTGCTGTATTAGAAAAGAGGACAGATTATGTCCCTGAAACAGGCCATGTAGGCCCATAGGGTTGTAGACATTGAGGCTGCCACATTTTCTATAGAGTTGGCTTGCAGATGTTGGTGAGGTTGTCAGCCTTACATGCTGGCTGCCTTTACCCCCAGGAAGATTCCTCGTACTCATTTCTGTTAGAGGCTGAGTCAATCCCAGGGCTGTAGTGCGGCTGGAAGGATTAGGTAAATTGAAAAATACGTCATCGAGAATCGAACCCACAACCTTCCACCTTGTAACATAGTGCCTCAACCAACTACTGTGCTACCACCTGCCCCTCCCCTGGATTGTTACATAGAAGGACAAATATATCAGCTGCAGAAATGACCAGTGGCTTGATATAAAGCGACTACATGTCTCAACATGACCAAAGATGTAAAGTAAGGAAGGTGATGTCAGTACACTTTATCAGAAAAGAAGGTAGAACATGACTTGGTGAGCTGGTCACATTTCGCTAATTTTTTTGACTTCCTATGTTTTATGTTAAACAGGATGAGGTAGTTCCTAGGAAGGAGAAACGTCAGTACAAAAAGCGGAAACACAAAACAGGAACAGGTACTGTGGGTATTGGTTCTCATGGACACGGGCACCACCACAGTGGACGGAGCTCTGCTGGTTCTGGTATTGAGTTTTTGGGTTACAACTGCACTCCTGGTGGGGAACTTCTGAGCTCGGAGGACGAGGGGGATGCTGTCCTATCTGGACAGTCACCACAATCCGAAGATGAGGAACCTGATCCTAATGAGGGACCTTTCACTTTCAGGAGGAAGAAGTACTGCAATTACCATGCGGTCAGTTACTGATTCACATATTAATCGGTTTTGCGAATCTTTGGAACACAGGAACACCATTTGGGATGTCAGTATTCTACTGTAAACCTTGCATGATGTCTTACATGTTCAAAAAAAACACTAAATATCCTAAGAATCAACATGGCAAGTATTCTGTTACTTGTAACAATACATTTCATCTTCAGGATGATAATAATTTTGAATTTGATTTCCTTGCAGCCCTTGTCAGGTGGTCTTGGCAACTGGCCATGGTGTAGTCGTGAAGAAGGTGGTCTGGCTGATAGGAGGTACAGATACTGCCTTACCTCCATATCAAACCCTGAACGGAGGTGTATAGGATTTGCCAGGCGGAGAATAGGTCGGGGTGGAAGGTGTGTATGCTTGATAGAACTCTGGCCCATCAAGGATCTGGTTTTAGAAACACTTAATGTCTTGTATTGTAGTGAACACGTAAGTGTGTTTTGTGATTACATGTGGTTGAATATAGTACTGTGGCATGTAGACCTGTTGCTAGGCAACAACCGCGAAATAAGCAAATGTGCCACAGCTGTTACTATGTAATGGCTCCTCAAACAAGCATGTTTCCACAACAGTTGGGTACAACATTAATGGGAAACAGTGTTTTCTGCGTGGTGTGTGCTGAGATGTTATAAGCAGGGCAGGTCTAGAGGTAGTCAGTCAGTCAGTCAGTCAGTCAAGAGTTACTGTAGCTGAGGCCAGGGACAATTAGGGAACCCAGATGAAGGGGAATGTCTGTCATTGGAAGCCATTACCAGATGACTGGTGAAGAAACAACAGGCAGAGAAGACTGAAGTGTGTGCTTTAGTGAACTGTAAAGTGTGTTAATTAGTGGAACGGTTATAATTACTTGTAGTCACAGATGCATAAGAGTTCAGTAAATCTGACCCCCTCTGTAGCCGCTCATATGTGTGACGGTACAGTACTGAGTCAGAAATACTCTGTAGCTTCCATGTTTCTTTGATGGTTAATGCCGTACAGATATTGTTTCCCACTATCGTGCCCATAATATTCTGAGTAAGAATGTTTGACTTCACCCATTATCTCTCTTAGAAAGAACATCTTGTTCTTCTATTTTGACCAGCATTGAACCTATTCCAGTTTCCTAGAAGTAGTGGTTAAATTTCACACTTAAAAGGAATAACAGGTGAAACTATATTTTTGCATCTCCTTTTCCAGTTTAATGGAAAGGTGATGTAAGGTCAAGTAAAATGTTTTGAACTGAATGATTTGTATACATTTCAAACTTGCACATATACTGTAATATTCTTATTGATGTGTAAGTAAAGTGGTGGGTTTTGACTTTTAATCCTTAGTATCTTCCCATATCCAATATCCATTTTCATCAGATTGCATTGGAAGTTGTGAAAGACAACAAATTTGTTTCCATATGGCATATTCTGTGTTACACTTGAAAAAAATATTGTCACGTGTTGGGTGTGTCATGCGACAAATAACTTTACGTGGGCCTCGGATTTAGCGAATCCATTGTTACTCAACGACCTTCTGTTGTTCATCTCCGGGGAAACGTGTTCGTTGTTTCGGCATTGTCTACACAATGGCCCACTGTTATTGCGTTACCATGGAAGTATCTACTCCAAACATGTTACATTGCTCCCTTCTGAAGGTTGTCCATCTCGAACAGCCTAACGGTGCATCCTTGGTTTCATTTCCTAAGGTGTTCATCTTCACGTGTTACCTCTGCCTTTTGTTCGGTGTTTTGCCTTCCTTCCACATGCCCCCCCTTCTTCCAGAGTGCTCACCTCGAGCACTTCAAGGTCCAGTGGTTGTCGGTCCCATTGTCTCACATTCATTCATTTCTTCATTCACCCTTGCTAGGGAGGCCGGTGCTTCTACGTTACCAGATCCTCCCATACAGGCCGTTTCCCTTCTTCCATTTTGGAGGGGGTCGACTCCTCCACAGTGTCCAGTTTTTGATGTTTTGTGGTGGGACAGGAAATTTGGTAATTTGCTTCGCGGCCTCCTGTCTGGTAATTTTTTTGTAGGCCTCAATTCTTGTTTCTGTTGTTACATTGCAGTTGCGCCTGTTGTCTCTTCTGAGCATCCATCCTTTCTGTGTTCCTCTTACCACATTGTCCCTGGCACAAACTTTCCCAATGGCATTATCCTTGCCCCGTGCCACTCCTGCACAGTGGGTCCTAGTTCTAGGAGCGACCAGTTCTCTCCGTGGGTGATACTTTTCCTGGGTAATGTGCAACTTTATGATGTCTCTCTTGCATCGAGCCGCTGCTGCACGACAGAACATCTTGTCGGTTTCCTGCTTTTGCCCTGTCACTGTTACACGGTGGCTCGTCCCTTTGCGGGCGACAGCCAATTCCTTCTGGGGTTAATAATTTCCCCATGTGGAATCCTTCGCTTTCTGGCGGCGGTGCTCCATGGCCAGTTTTTGGTCCCTACGCCTTTTTTTCTTCAGTTCCCTGACCGGCATTATTCCGGCGTCTTCTACGGGTACCTCTTATTTCTGTGTCACCTCAGGTTTCGTGTCCGGTGAAGTCTGCTTCTCCTCTTCTTGACGTGCCTCCATCTCTTGGCAGGCAGTCATCTCTATGTCTTTTTCGGGATCGACTTCTTCCCGTGTGGCTTTTCTGTCCACTTCGGGTTTGCATTCGGCCACCATCTCCTTGTGACTGGCGTCTATTTTTTCTTGCCAGGATCTCCAATCGGCCATCATTTGTCCATGTCTGGCTTCCACCTTTGCCTGGTCGGCATCCACCTTCGCTTGCATGGCTCTGAATTCCTTCAACAGCAGTTCCATTATCTGCTGTGACTCCATTTTAGCTCATGTGTAAGTCCAATCTTTTAAATTCATCGTAACGTGTTTAAGTTCATAAAGCACTTCTTACACCATTTGTCACGTGTTGGGTGTGTCACGCGACAAATGACTTTACATGGGCCTCGGATTTAGCGAATCTTTATTGGACACTCAATCTTACACACCTTACAATTGTTATTACTTCAGCTGTATTCTGCGGTGGCTATCTTTTGACTGTCTTGTATGGTGACTAGGTTCCAACTGTGTTGTTGCTGTCTGTAGCTCTCAGCTTATATAGGTGTTCTGCGGACTCAGTAGAGGACACCTCTCACCAAGGTTCAGTCTCACATGTTTGGCGATCCGTTGCTTCGGGAACGCTCTTTATACCCTGGTAACGAGTTTCGTCATCCGTTGTTACTCAACAGCCTTCCGTTGTTCGTCTCCGTGGAAATGCGTTTGTTGTTTCAGCACTGTCTACACAATGGCCCACTGTTATTGCATCACCATGGAAGTATTTACACCAAACATGTTACAGTATTTTCTAATGCTGAGTGTTTTTAAAATGAGTTTATTTTGCTAGAGTGTTTTATTTGTGTTATATTTTATATTCATTTTTGCCTTTCAGAGTAATACTAGACCGTGCAAGCACAGAGGTGGATGACATTTTTGCAGCTCTGGACTTTACTGTCCTTGACTCTACAGCTGTTTCGCATAATAACAACCAGTTCCTGTCAGAAATCAAGAATGACTGGTGAGTGACCAGTCACTGAGTGTGTAGTTCCTTTCCTCCCCTCCCCTTTTATTTCCCCCCCACCCACAAAACAGTTGTTGAACTGTAATTTGTTTTATTGTTCATATTTTGAATACACAAAACAGTAGTCAGTACGTATCTGCAATGAAAGTTCAAATAATGATGTTCTGCTGTTTGTCTGACCATATTTTTGAACTCAGATGTTTGCAACAAGATATTATATCCAAGTTTTGACTTGCGCTTGGTGATGAGCACAGCTAATTCAGATGCATGTGTTGAAACGTGTAGTTGCTCTTTACTTTGCTGTGAAATGCATTTATAAATCTACCATTTTTCTCAGTAACTAAGAATATACTTTAGGACTTACTTCATGATGTGGAATTTAGCTGTCAGACATATTGATGTGGGGGCACCAGGTTAAAGATACCACTTCTAGTAATAAATGACATGATTTTATTTCAATCTGTAGTTTATTTTATTAATTTCTACAAACAGGTTTCTTGATGTTGACATCTTGAGATTAAGTCCAAGTGCTGTACTCTTATATTTTCCTTGCAACCATCACACTTACTTCCAAATTCAGTACAACTGCAGTATACTGAGAATTTATAGTATTCATAAAAAGTTCTGGACCAAGTAGTTAAAGTGGAGAAGGAAGTCAGAGATTACCCAAGTTCTGGGCACGTTGTTGAAGCTTCTAACTAGGAAATTTTGACAAAATGGAGGCATTCAGTTTTAAGGTCATCACATTGCAGTCTAAATTTTTTATTGATTGGAGTCCCGATGAGATGGATTTTTTTTCAATTTATCTAACCCTTCCCGCTGCACTATGGCCCTGGAGTTGACTCAGCCTCTAACAGAAATGAGTACCTGGGATCTTCCTGGGGTAAAGGGCAGCCGGCGCATAAGGCTGACAACCAAATTGCCATCTGTGAGCCGATTATCTGGAGAAAATATGGGAGCCTCACAACCCTATGGGACTTCACGACCTGCTAACAGAAATAGCTTTACCTTCTTTCTTTCTTTCTTTTTTTCTTTCCCCATCACACTGGAGCCAGTATTTATTATGAAAGATCATAATATCAGAGTTCCAATTTCAGTTCTCATACAGGTGTTTCTTTGGATTTAGTTCCCATAGTATGCACATAAGATTAGCCATGTCTGAAACCAGTTACTATTTAGTACTCTGAATGAAAACCTCAGATAGACAATATGCTAGTTTGAAATTTAAAATAAAAATTATATTTTTTTCTTTTCCACAGTAGTGACAAGTGATCAAATGTAAATTCACTACTACGATTCAGAAGCAGAATAGGTGGTGATGCTGTTGAAGCACAAGTGATCTCACACACTGCACAAGCATTGTGTCCTGAAGTCTGCTAGAACGATTATCAGAGCATTGTTATGGACTGTAAGGATCTGCAGTTGCTAAAGTTTGTGCTACATAGCCCTGTTATTTCTATGTTACCATGAAAGAAAAAGCAAAACATTATCAAACAACAAGTATTAAAATTATGCATTATAATGCATAATTTTAATACTGATTTTAATGCTGATAATTATCAGCATTTGTGTTTTTGAATTCCAAAAGTTCAGAACTTGTGGGTTGAAAGATGCATATAATTTTTCTGTCATTTACTCCTTGAAATTAGCTTTCTATGTGCTGAATCATTCTGGAGATCTGTATCGGGTATTACATTGAAAGTTGAACCCAAACCAATTTCTTATAATTCATTAGTCATCAGGGAGATGCTTTATCGCCACTCCTTTCCAACTTTGCTTTAGAATATGCCATTATGAAGGTCAGGGAAACCAGGTGGGACTGAAATTAAATGGGACACATGAGCTGTTGGCCTGTGCCGATGATGTGAATCTTCTGGGTGATAATGTAGATACCATAAAGAAAAGCACACAAACTTTAATTTATGCAAGTAAAGAGGTTGGCCTAGAAGTAAACACAGAGAAAACTAACTATATGTTGCTGTCTCATCACCAAAATGCAGTGCAAAGTCATGACATAAAGATAAGAAACAGATGTTTTGAAAATGTGGCACAGTTCAGATATTTGGGAACAACGAAACCTGATTCAGGAGGAAATTAAGAGGAGATTGAACTCTGATAATTATCAGAGTTCAATTATTATTATTATAGCATTATAATGCTTACTACCATTCAGTCCAGAACCTTTTGTCTCCTTGTCTACTCTCCAAAAACAAAAATTAGGATATACAAAACTGTAATTTTGCCTGTGGTTCTGTATGGGTGTGAAACTTGGTCTCTGACATTAAGGAAGGAACATAGACTGAGGGTGTTTGAGAACAGGTGTTGAGGAGAATATTTGGACCGAAGAAAGATGAAGTGAGAGGAGGTTGGAGAAAACTGCACAATGAGGAGCTTCATAACTTGTACTCTTCTCCAAGTATAATTAGAATGATCAAGTCAAGGAGGATGAGGTAGGCAGGGCATGTAGCACGAATTTGGGAGATGAATGCATATAGGATATTGGTGGGAAAGCCAGAAGGAAAGAGACCACTGGGGAAGACAAAGACGTAGGTGGGTGGACAATATTAAAATGGATCTTAGATAGATAATGTAATGTGCTATCTTACGGCCATCGCTGTGCAAGAGCCACAATAGGAAGTTAACAACCTACAATGAGTCTCCACACTTACAATGAATACACAGAGAGTTCCGACAGCGACAATGCAATAACAGTGGGCCGTTGCCTGGGGCAAACAAACGCGTTCCTAGGAGATGAAAGGTAACAAATTGTTCGAAGCATTACATGACAACAGAAGGTTCATTGCATAGCAACCGCCAAGGCTGTAAAAGCCCAGCTTCGACAAGAAACAAGTTAGTCTTGGGATAGCTGCTGCTGAAGACAGTTGGAACCTAGTCGCCATATGATACAGACAGAAGACAGCAAGAAGTCAGTCTTCAGAAGGCCGCCGCTGAAAGCAGTCTAGTATTGGCCGAGATACAGTGGAAGCAGTAATTGTGATACTGCAAGTGATAATAATTGTAAAGCGTGTGAGTGTATAAGTGAAGCACAATAAAGATTCACTAAATCTGAGACCCACGTGAAGTTATTTGTTGCGTGACATACCCAACACATGACAAGTGGTGTTAGAAGCAGGATCAGTTTAAGTTCTGAGACAAATTTAAAAGATTGGTCTTACACACATGACTGACAGGATCAACCTTAAAACACGAAAACACAGCGCGGAAAAATGGACATACAACAGATGATGGAACGTCTGTTAGCGGGCCAAGAAGAAATGAAGACTGGCCACAAAGAACTACTGGCCAAACTAGAGGACGACAGACAGGCCAACATTAAGCATGGTGAGAAGAGATAGCCGCCATGACAGACAAATGGGGGAACGACAAACACGTAAAGACGATGGCCTGCCAAGAGATGGAGGCATGTCGAGATGAGAAGAAGCCGACCTCACTGGACAGGAAACCTGAGGTGGCAGAGCAACGAGAGGTCCCCACAGAAGACGCTGAAGTAATGCCAGTCAGAGAACCAAAGAAGAAAAGGCGTAGGGGCTGAAAACTGGCCGCAGAGCGCTGCCGCCAAAAAGTGAAGGATTTGACGCAGGAAAATCATGAACTCCAGAAAAAATTGGCTACCACCCGCAGAAGGACAACACGCGGTGTGAAATTGGCACGGCAAGAGCAGGAAACCGACAAGAAGATGTCCTGTCATGCGACAGTGACGTGACACATGAGAGACATCTTCGGGTAGAACACGACCCACCCTGCGAATATGGCACGGAAAACACAGACCGATCTGAAGGTGACCTGTCGCACAGGAGTGGCACGACAAAGGAAAGATGCCTTCAAGAAAGAAACTAGTCAGGGAAATTTCGGATCCCGGAGAAAGGAATTGACCGTCGCCAATTGTATACATCGTCTCGGTAAGAAACCTTACAATGAGTCTCAACCATTGCGGGGTGACCGTAGCAGCAAAGAGAAACCAGCAATGAGAACTGTCACGCCACGGTCTCGTACCAGCAAATGGCGGGAAGACCAGGAGAAACGACGACATCAGGAAGTGTAGGCCACACTTCAAGTGCTGTTACGTTGACATAAAGAACTTCTCAGGGAAAACAAGACCAAGTATTGGACAATGTGGAGGGGCTGACCCCCTCCAAAATGGAAGAAAGGAAACAGCCTGTATGGGAGGAACTGGTAATGTAGAAGTACAGACCTCCCGTGCAAGGGTGAATGAAGACTGAATGAGCAAGGAATGAATGTGAGACAATGAGACCCACACATCCTGGGCTACGGGAGTGTTCAGGACGAGCACCACTGAAGAGAGGGTCGGATGCGGTAGTACGAACAGCGCAAAAAGACGCCAGCAGAACACCAAGACTGAATGCAGATGTTGCCAGCAGAACACCGCGGAAATGGAAGAGAGGAAGAACCTTTCGACTGTTTGGGACAAACAACATTTAGAAGGGATCAATGTAATGTGCTATCATACGGTCATCGCTGTGCAACGTCCACAATAGGAAGTTAACAGTCTACAATGAGTTTCCACGGTTACGATGAATACATGGAGAGTTCCCACAGCAGCAACGCAATAACAGTGAGCCATTGCCTGGGGCAAACAAACGCGTTTCCTAGGAGATGAAAGGTAACAAATTGTTCGAAGCGTTGCATGACAACAGAAGATTCATTGCATAGCAACCACCAAGGCTATAAAAGCCCAGCTTCGACTAGAGACGAGTTAGTCTTGGGATAGCCGCCGCTGAAGACAGTTGGAACCTAGTCGCCATACAATACAGACAGAAGACAGCAAGAGGTCAGTCTTCAGAAGGCCGCTGCCAGAATGGGATGGTATAGATTGGATTGATCTGGCTGAGGATAGGGACCAGTGGAGGGCTCTTGTCAACACAGTAATGTACCTTCAGGTTCCATAAAATGCTGGGAAATTCTTGAGTTGCTGCAGAATTTGCGGCTCCTCCAGAAATGCTCAGCTACATGAGTAAGTAAGTAAGTAAGTAAGTAAGTCAGTCAGTCAGTCATCATACTTTATCAAAATAATTCACAAGTGTTTAATTAAAATTAGTTATGTGGTATGTTACATATAGAATTTCTGTATTTCTGGAATTTGCCCTTTTTCTAGTGTTCAATGTGAAACACGTTTTAAAAACTGGATCTTTTTCTCTCCTCAGATAAAATGGTAAGGAGGTACATACTCAGTTAGGTTCATCAGAAAGAGCTAATGTAAGTCACACCAATCACATATGCAGAACTTTCTTAATGAGCAGATAACGTAAACTAGATGAAAAATAGGAACTAACATGAATACTGTCATGTCTTTCCATAACATACATCTGTTAGGAGAACCTGTTGTCCAGGGATGTCTTGCTGGACTTCTTTGTCAGAGATGTCAGGCCTGAGACCAGTTGGGTCCAGAATGAATTATCTGTGTGGCTTTCCTTTCCCAAAGGTAAAATTTTGTGGACATGTGGAATGCCAGGCCCACATTAAGCTGTAGGTCCCACTTTTTGGTCATTATCATCCTGCAGTTGGTGATACCACATTCCACTCACTCCATTGCTGTCCACACACCAGACATGAATTCATCAATGATGACAGAGGCAAGAAAGGTCAATAAGGCAACAAGCAAAAACATTAACCACAACAACATTCTCTTCAATTAAAGTTTGCTGTGTAGATGAAATATCTACATTGTGTTCTACATGACTAGTTATTCTCACATAGTACAGTTAGTTTTCATTTTGTAGAAAGTGCTTTTAATATTAGAAACAAAAACATATCAGGAATATAAAATTGTTGGGCCAGCAAATAAAATGTTGTCTAGTTATCACAAATTTGATAGGTTCTAATAAAATCTATCATTTAATATTGTAATTTCCCCAGTCTGGACCATTTTTTTATTTTTAGCTCTGCTCTTAATTCTTATACACTGAACAATGCTTCAGGTTACACTTCCGGCCAAAGACACCTCCACCATCAGCTGGTAGTGAAGGTGAAGATGCTGAAGTTGATGTCTTCAACTCTTCACGGGAAGAACCCCTCCTATGTGGTCTGCCTGGTGTTGATGGCTCCACATTAACTCTGGAAGTGGAGACGCTGTCAGATGATATCTTCAGTAATTCCTGCGCCATGTCTTCATTAGATAATACAAGCAGTAATGTGACAACAACAGAGCTGAACCTGTCAGAACTCATGTCAAATTCATCTTCACATTTGTTTGAACTTCCGTCATCCGTAACAGCTGATGAAAACCTTGACATTCTCGAAAGGTTAGGACTTGGATCTGGAAGCCTAAGTTCACCGACAGATGAAACCAAGTCAGGAATCCCTGCAGAGGACTTGTCTAGGAAATTGGATTCCTCATCCCCACCTAGCAGTAGCTGGGATCCCATCGTTGGATGTTCGAAATTTATACTTCAGCCAAGTTCCAGCCTTAGGTTTAGCACCACTCATGACCCTCTCTCACTATCTCCTATCTCAACATCTTCAGTAACCACTCATACTCCCTCTACTACCCCCAATCAGCATCATCCTTCAACTCTCCATCATCACCCCCATCATCATCACCATCACCACCATCATCGGAGAAGACATAGACATCATCATATGTCGACCATTACATCAACATCGAATTTCCTAACTAGTCCTTCATCTGCGACAAACAGTAATGCTAACATTGGTGGTTTTAGTAATGGTGGATTAGTGTTAAATCATGAGCCAAGTACTAGTGTTAGTGGTGGGTTTAGCATGGCAATGGCATCAACTAGTGCAAGTGAGAATGTGTTGGTTCGTGCTTCTGGTGCTGCATCTACAGGGTTTGGTGGGGGAATGCAGAATTTAACGAATGGACCCATCTCTACAGAATGTAAGTGCACTGCTTAATGAAAAACAGGTAATTAGATGGTATGTTACTTGTATCTGTGCTGTACGAAATATTCTCTCTTTCAGGTAATACACATTTGCAGAATTTTTATTATTTGATGTTATTTGATATTATTTGATTTATTATTTATTTAATGAAGTTTTAGATCATACTGAGTCCTGTTGCATGTCTTAAAATTCTTTTCTTCCAATGTGATGTTTGAGTTTCACCATTTATATGCATCTCAGGAATTATTAAGACTTACATGACAGCCAGTCATGTCATTTTGTTTCAAAGTATATGAAAATTTATATGTCAGAAACCTAATGTGTTGTTTGTCAGCAAACAAGTGTAACAAGAATTGGATGATGTAATCAGCCTAAAATTAATGAAGTTTCAACTGGAAAGTTGTTACAGTTTGGTGATGAGGATGAAAGCTTGTGAAGCCTGGATGGGGAACTTGGTGGTGTTGTCTAAACAGAACTGTATAATTTGATAAATTTGTGGCTTCTGAGTCTTGCACCAGACCAGGATTTACATTCTAGCAAGTCTGCTAGGACCTCACCAATCTATTATCCTATTCCTTTTCCTGACATACCAGTTGGCTTACAGTAATAAAAATCTGGAGTCAGCAGTCAGCGTACTTCTACTTGATACATTAGAGCTAAGGTGAATAACAAGATAGTACCCTAAGTTAGGCCATGACTGCTTCTGTGTACATCCTCTCCAATTCATTATTCACTATCATGTCATTCAACACTACAGTCTGAGTTACTGACAAAAAAAAACTGTGGCCTGTAGTCCGCAAGTGAATCATACTGACAAAGCAACCGCCGCTTGTCAGTGAAGTTAGTGCCAACTTTAGCGGGTAGAAGGTGTTTCGTGGTCAGCACAGTGGATCCCAACGGCCATTAATCTCGGTTTTCTAGATCAGAGCCGCTGTTTTCTTGAAATAGCTCTTCAGTTATTGTCATGAGGTTGAGTGGAGCCTGTTCCAGACCCACTAATTTTCAGAAAATCCTGGTAGCGCCCAGAATTGAACCTGGGACATCTGGATCGAGTTAATGCATGAAATTTCTCACATTTTATCATTATTGCCAAGTTCAATACAGTTAACCACAATACAGTGCCTGTGGCTTATAATGAGAACATCATTATAGAGATAGAAATCATTAGCACCATCAACTTCTTAGCATTACCCATATTGGGGGGGGGGGAGACCGTGGTTTAAGGATTGCATTAGACAAAATTTTGCAGCTTCCAGATGGAGTCCCCACCAAATTTTATATAGAATTTGCCCAAAATGAGGAATGCATGCTTAGTGCATGTACACAGAGAACTATTACAAGATCTTAAAACACTGGGTGACTCTTTGAAATATTAAGATAGCAGGAGTAGATGACAGTGGTTTTAGGATTGCATTCAACACAATTGTACAGCTTCCAGATGGAGTCCTCATCATATTTTAGCCAATGAGAAATAATTACATGATGTCATATGAATTCCTCTTCACTTCTTTTAAATTCGCTTAGTGGGGGGTGGAGTCCAACAGGGTCCACTCGGCACAGCGGCCACTGATTGGCCTATTGTAGCCTGTCCCGGGTGATTATGATGATGGAGAATTTGGTGGAATGAAGATTGGCAGGGGAAACCGAAGTACTCAGAGAAAACCCACCCCAGCACCACTTTGACCACCACAAATCTCACTTGACCAGACCCGGGATCGAACCTGGGCCGACGCAGTGGGAAGCCAGCAACTAACTGCTTGAGCTATGGTGCGGCCTTATGCTGAATGTTAAGTTATGGCAACAAGATGGGAGTTGTGTATTGTCTGCCATTTTGAAGAACAAAGGAAGATTAGTATTAGCTGGACTGTGTATTGGAAGACCAATGACAGAAACAGATGTGCAATGCAGAGAATGAAGATTTAGAAGCTGTGTTCTTTGATTTTGCCTGCAATAGGTGCTGCAGTACCAATTGGTGGACCAGTAATCAAAGCAGGAGCTAAGCATTTGCAACCTCATTATCTGTCGAGAACTTCCAGTGTCCCAGAGGGAGGCTTTATAATTTCAAAGCAAGAAAAGCAATTGTTTACAATAATGTGAGGCTTCTCTGCTTAGTTTGGAATTGAGAAGTTTCAAAGTGTGCATAAATAAGTAGTAGAAATCCATAAAGTGTAACTACTGTAGCTGGAAGAAGTAAAAATGTTGCCTTTATATGTTTCAGCCAGTTACTGTCCATCAACAGAAGATATAAACAGCATTCTTACTTACTTACTTACTTACTTACTCACTCATGGAGCTGAGCCCTTCTGGTGGAGCTTCAAATTCTGCAGCTACTCAAGAATTTCCCAGCATTGTATGGAACCTGAAGGTTCATTGCCATGTTCACAAGAGCCCTCCACTGGTCCCTATCCTCAGCCAGATCAATCCAATCAATACCATCCCATCATATCTCTCTAAGATCCATTTTAATATTGTCCACCCACCTATGCCTTGGTCTTCCCAGTGGTCTCTTTCCTTCTGGCTTTCCCACCAATATCCTATACACATTCATCTCCCAGATTCGTGCTATATGCCCTGCCTACCTCATCCTCTTTGACTTGATCATTCTAATTATACTTGGAGAAGAGCACAAGTTATGAAGCTCTTCATTGTGCAGTTTTCTCCAGCCTCCTGTCACTTCATCTCTCTTCAGTCCAAATATTTTCCTCAACACCTGTTCTCAAACACCCTCAGTCTGTGTTCCTCCCTTAATGTCAGAGACCAAGTTTCATACCCATACAGAATGACAGGCAAAATTATTGTTTTGTGTATTCTAATGTTTATGTTTTTGGACAGCAGACGGGAAGACAACAGGTTCTGAACTGAATGGTAGCAAGCTTTATCCTAGCTCAATCTCCTCTTAATTTCCTCCTGTATCAGATTTCGATCTGTTATCATTGTTCCCAAATATCTGAATAAACAGCATTCTAAGGGAATTATTTCAAATATGTTGTAGAGCATAAATTGTTACTCTAGTATCATATAAGGGCTGTTAGTTGGATTTAAGAAACCACTAACTTAACACTTTGCGGACCGCACACCCTTTAAAAGGTTTTTCGCTTTTAAACATGGCGGACTGTTGGCGTGATAACAGGTTTTTAGAACACGATAAGTTGCAACACACTATACATAGCTTTGGCACCACCTACATTGCACGCAACCGCCTGCAGATGCGTGATAAGACTCTGGAATGTATAGTTAGCAGTCAGTAACTTGACCTCGCTGTTTACTTAACCGACTATAAAGGAAAATGCTTTGCCTTCTTCAAGCTGTGTGTATCAGCCAGTAGCTAGTGGGGAGAATGGATCAAGGACAAATTCTCCTCCGATGACCTAGCTGACCTGCCTTGTGAGACGTGTAGTAATGGATTAATTGTCATTCAGACAGCAACAGTGACAGGGGACAACAAAGAATTGTGGCCACAGACAGTGAAAGTGACAGTAGCTCCGACAATAACGCGGGTAATAACATTGCGTGTAGTAACATTGCGGGGACAGCAAAAAATCTAAAAAAAATCTAAACCCTGATTCAAAATTGAAATACAAAGCAATTCTGATGAATGTGGCAAAGGCCTGGGCTACAGTCTAGATGGTGGCGGCAGAACCAGGGTCACACAAAGACTTAGTACGACCAGGCCCATCAGCTCCCACCCCACGAAGGCCTCATGTGGACCCCCCAGGACGACTCTTGAGTGATATGCGGAAAAATACCCTCGTGAAAATTGTGAAGAGTGAACATTCCAAGGGGAAGAATACTTCTAGGCAATGCCATGTTTGCACAGTTCACAAAAAAAGGAGTATGTCTACATTTGCAAGTTCTGTGTAATGCCACTTCACAAAGGTGAAAGTTTCCAGAAATATCACACCCTCAAGCACTTCTAGGAGCATTGGTAAGTGTTCTCCAAAAATGTTAGTTCAAAAAATTAATTAGGTGATTTTATATTAATTTTTAAAGTGAACAGTGCACAAGTTAGGGTAGTATGTTTAAAAATGCCGGTCCCCAGGGTGATTTAAATATTTAAATCACCGGTCCGCAAAGTGTTAATAATATTCACAACTGATTTTAACTCTTATTAACTGTAATAATATTCACAACTGATTTTAACTCTTATTAACTGTTTAGTCTTAATTTCTGTAACTGTTAATAGGTCCCTGTATGATCCTATAGTAACAATAAATGCTCAGCAACAGTGTATGTAAAGTAATTCGTTTATAACGTGGCTATGCCTTCAGGTGATGGCTAATAATGGCCAAAACATGTAAAGGTAAAATTTTTACTTACTCCTGTCACATTAGTTATACTTGATGGACTTCCACAACTTATTTGTGTATTAAGATGTGTAATGGTTCTTATAAAGACTTCTAAAAGTACTATTTATGTGAAAAATCTTATGTGCATTTTCAGTAAATCTTAAATACAGTGAAAACACTGATGAAATTAATATAAAGTTTACCAAAAAAGTAACCTATGTTTGTGTCTCCCAAGCTGCTTTTCTCTGTAGATTTTCTGACCAGAATATTGTATGCAGGAAATTTATTAGTGTTACAGGAAGTGGCAGCCCCGGTTTGCTGAAGTAATCAGATGTGTCCTTTTTAGCTTTCCTTATAATGAAACACAAGCTATGGCGTTTCCATGTTTGCATTTCACTCCACATGAAATTAGTAACTTCTGAAGCTCTTCACAGATTTATGGAACTTTGGTATGAACATTATGTCACTAGTAGGCACTTCATCTTTGTATAATTTAATTACCTACCATCAGTAATATGAGGGAGAGTCAGTAAATAGGTCACAAATGGAAGTACAACAGCTGTAATGGACATAATCAATTTTCTTTATGTATCACTAGGTAGCAGTGTAATCCAGCTTCATGACAGTCTAGGTTGCATATGTGCATGCTCATGTTCAGAGGCTAGTTTCAGTAGTCAGAATGGTGACTGTGGTTGAGTGTATACTACTG